CCGAGAATTGGACAGCAACACATGCATATGATTGTCAGGCAAGAACTTTGACTCTTTAAAGTGAATTTCACGGATTTCTTCAAGCTCGCTATCTTTCATTTTCCTCTTAATTTCACTAAACTTCTCATGTGGTCCAAGCATTATATTTTTTGACACCAAAAGGCTATACATATCCCATCGCTTATATTTTAAAGCAACTGCTGGAGCAGAATTGTTACTTAAGTCATAAAAATGGCGAATTTCAGTATTTTGATTTAAAATTTCTAGAATTTTTTGAGAATGTTTTAATTTAATTGCTTCATGCAAACAAAAACTAATCTCATAAAAACTTTTAATATCAGCAGGACATTCCTGGATATCAATCTTTTGTGGGTATACCAAATTAGATTTTAATAATGAAAATAAAATGCTAAAATGTTGGTTTTCATATGCCAATGTTTGAGCATTTGTGTCATAAGACTCAGTATTAAAGCCCCCATCCAAAAATAAGTTGACATTAAAGATGTCACCAAGCTCAGCGGCAATGAGAAGTAAGTTGTAGTTTCGGTGGTCTGCTAGCAGATGTAGCTCAAACATTACTGAAGTCTGATCAACTATGACTGCATTATGAAGTCCTGAAATTGTCATAAAAAATTAAAATTTCAGATTTTTTTACAAGAATTGAAAACTTTGGCAACTTTAACTCACCCGATTAAAAAACATAGCATATTTTAGTACTTACCCAAATGCCCATGTTTTAGTGAGTTTGTCAAAAATTTTGCTACGAACTCAAATAATCTTAAATCGTTTAAAAATTTGCATTGATTGTAAAGTTTAAGCGTCAAAAAATGACTAATTTCCCTTGATTTCCAGATTATAGTAAAATCTTTGCAATGCTTTGATGATATCAGTAGAACAACTGAGTTTTTTAAACATTTTTGTGTTATTTCTTCTAGTTCTGTTGAGGTTAATTGATCCGAAGGCAATTCAATTTCAATTCTAAACAGCAAAACTTTGGAAGGTTTCTTTAGAATAGCTACAACATCTGGAATTTCAAAAAGAGTTGAAAGACTTTCAACAGATAAAAAAGAGTTTGTTGCGTCAATTGATGTTGTTGATGGATTGATGTTTTTGTCGTTTGGATATTCTTCAAGTTGGATGTCTAAATTTTCAAAAACAAGATTGATATATTTTAATTCAATGCGTTCATAGTTACAAAGAATATGAAGTTCAAAATTAGCACAGTCAAATTTAATCATAACTAATGTATAGTTTGATAGTTGACATTTGCACATTATCGTTTTATTACTGAACTGTTTTTTTTTATTGCTGATCATTTATAGATTTATTTTTATATGAACACTAGGATTACTTGTTTTGAGTAAGCTCTAAACGTTTGAATTTAATTTATCAATTTAAAACATTTCCGGGAGTATAAGTACTTTTTAAAAAGCGTGCAAATCAAAATTGATTGATTGATTGATTGAGTTTATTAACCCTCTCGGGTAGTTAAGAAAATTATAAGAAAATTTAAAATACTACACAGAACCATAGGAAAGCATGTAAAATTCAATTTAAATACTTGATATGGGAGTTAAACGGCTTTTTTCTATCAATAAAATCAAAATTGCGTTAAGCCGAAAAAATCGGTTCGATCTCTAGTTATTACTTTTTTTGACTTTATACTTCACAAGCGATTGCAGAAATCACTTTTATAAGGTCTCACTAAAGTGTACGTTAATTAATTAATTACACTAGGACTATAATAAAATTTTACAAGAGAAAAAAAATGAAAGTATTTATTTTAATTCGATTTTTTCATAACTAGACATTTATTAGACCTATGTCCAGTTAAATGGAAATATGATATTTTGAATATAAATTTTTTTGAATAAAATATGATATTTTTGCAGTTTTTTTTTATTTTTTAAATAAATTCACTTACCATTCCTTTGTTCAGAATTTTCGTTAGTTCTAGCATAAAATCTTCGAAAACTTTTAATTGATAATAGTCTCGACTCCATATCACTATTAAATAATTTTAAAATTTTTTAACCCTTGCGGGTAGTCAAATTTATACAACTTATTCCTTTGAAAGTTTACTGACTACTGAAAAACACGCAAGCATTTAAATTAACATGTATTTGAAAAATAGAAAAAAAACTTCGAGCTTATTTTTGAAACCATTTTGGACGCCGCTTTGTCTTTTGGGTCGTTCATCTATGACGTCCATCAAAAAAACTTGATTTTTAGACCCCTCCCCCCTTCTGTCACAAAAATTCTGTAGAAAAAAAATTCCACTGTTTGAACTGTCACAAAAACTTAGACCCCCCTCCCCCCCCCTAAAGGTCGGACGTCATAAGTGAACGGCCCCGTTTCTAATCGCAGCTTCTTTTTTGGAATCAAAAAATAAAAGGATCCTGGTTTTGATTCTGGTGAGGCCAATGCATTTTTATGCAGATTTATGTAAATACTTGCAGATGATCAATCTAGTGAATGTTCTGCATAAATTTTTAATAATTTTTAAATAAACAAAATGATGAGAAATATATGACAATCGATAAATCTCTTGATTTACCTCTGTAAACTAATGTATTTGAAAATTGCGCATTTATACTTTCTAGAAGCTGACTTTTTCACTGGTTCAGAATTCTTTTTCAATTTCATTCGTTTAATATTCGTAAGATTATCAACAAAATTTCTGTTTGAATTGATCAGATTTAAATTAAAAAGATTAAAATTGTATTAGTTTGAGAATGTCAAAATTGTCATCTTGAATTTTGTTTTAATACTTTTTCATAATTTTACCAAGTAATACATTTTAATTGAATTTCAGACAAATCCAAAAAAAATTAATTATACCATGATGAATAAGATTGAAATTTACACACTTTTCAGTGTTAAGTTTGTAAAAAAAAATTTAACAGCAATCAAAATGAACACTAATACTTAATCGATAATACTTAATGCAGATGAACTCTTGAAATTTGAAATCCTGGACAACATCCGAAGATCGTCTGGGGAACTTAGACCGATAAGATTCCGAAAGAAGCAGCATATAGGAACAGACATAAGTTATCTTGGAGTAAAACTCTTTAATCAACTTAGTCCAGAGCTGAAAAATATTAAAAACTTAAAAACATTTAAAAGCAATTTGACGTACTACACTGATCGATGATAGAATCTATTGTACCGTATAGTCGTTGTGTATTATTTTGAGTGAAACTATTAAAAAAATCTTAAAGTCGAGACTTCCCAGGAATTGATAGGATTAGAGATATCTGGTCTAAATAAATAAAGCACTTAGCTACAGATCTTTTATTCCTCTTACACCTTGATGGAATTATTATTTCTTTCATAAAACAACACACTTCTATGTCTAATCTAGTCCTTGTATATACATTCATAATTCTGACAGAATCGGAATTCCAACAATGGATGTATGGTCGTTCTGTTTTAGAGACATGGATTAAGATAGACAATTTAAACAACGCAACTAAACCAATCTAATGAGAAGTGAACATTTGAATATTTTTTTTTTTGAAAACAGAATGTTCTTAGTTAATCCCTATGTAATTATAACTCAGGATGCAAAAGGATGCAATCATTAGAAAGTCCAAATTTACTGAATCTATAATGTCTGTTGTTACCAGAACAATCAAGAAAAGTTTCAAGCCCCGCGTTAAAAAACGTGGAACATTTTTATTAAATTAATTAAACAGTTTCCAAGTTATATTAGTTGAGAAAAACTTCTTATTAAGTTGTGTTTTCCTCAAGGAAAATTAGGAAAGGCAAAAGAAAGCAAGATTTGTCGCCAAAAATTGATTTGGACGAAAGTTCAATTAAATCTAATGAAAATTCCAAGAAGAGGAAGTAATCGCCTCAGAAAGAGGAATCATCGGTTCCAGTCACAACAACAACTTCAGTCAAGCCAATATTTGTGCAATGCAGTCTCAAGCATGTGAGAAAATTAATTTCACTATTGAAATTGCAGGTTATGCCTGCATATAAAATTTCATCATCAAATACAACTCAAGTAATTGTCAAGTCTATTGAGGATAAGGCCTCAATAATAAATCTTCTGCGGTCTCAAACTATTCAATTCCACACCTTCTCCGAGAAATCGGAGAAAACAAAGTCATTCGTTCTGAAAGGATTTTACGAAACACCAACGAATGAAGTACTAAGATTACTTCAAGAAGCCAAGGTTTCAGCTGTCAAAGTGACAATTCTCGTCAAGAAGCCCGAGTTCACCTTTTATCTTGTGCATTTTCAAGATGAAAGTGTGAACATCAACGTGCTCAATCATAACCACCGTAACATCGACAACATCATCGTCAAGTGGGAGAACATCAAGAAGGGCAACAAAAGCCCAGCGCAGTGCTTCAACTGCTAACGTTGGGGTCACTCATCTCAAAATTGTGGATATAAGTTCCGATGCATCAAGTGCACGGAAGTTAACGGACCAAATCAATGTCAACGATCCACTCGTGATGGAAATGCCAAGTGCATTAATTGCAATGGCGATCATGCTGCCAGTTATAGACTGTGCCCATCGTTCATTTCGTATTCCAAAAGAATCGAAAAGTCAAGAGCCAAACCACAACTCAAAATGCTGCCACAGAAGCTCAAGAACGTCTAAAGAGAATCCCCAACATTGAAGAAGCAATAAATCAGTTCTGCAGTTTCGTCGACGAAGCCGGAAAGATCCCAAAGGATGCACCTCAAGGAACTGCATTTAAACTCATAGTGAAGTATGGTTTCATGAGCTGCCCACCAGCACCGAACAAGCCAGTTCAAAATAATTTATTAACGTAGTTCATAAGCTTAAAAAAAGCTTTTTTTTTTCCCTCGGCAATTTTTTTAAACTTTTTATGCCACATTTTAATCTCATTCATCAAAATTAATAATTAATCAAGATATAGTTAAATTAAAGCCATATTCAGGCTGGTGTCAAAATAAAACTCAAAGAAATGTAACTTAAACTACAATAATTCCAAATTTGAAATAAAAAAATATTTGTATTGTTGTTACCAGAAAAAATCAATCTTGTTATTACATCAAATTGTAAAATTCGTCATTTTAATCATGTTGTATTAAATTCAGAATTACATTTTTTTTTTAATGAAAATGCAGCTTGACTTAATCATTTGGATATCGTACTCTGAAATAAAAATTAAATAAAGCATTAGGGTCATCTTATTTAACCAAAACATAGGGTGACCATCTAATTTTTATGAAAATACAGGACATTTGATAAATTTCCTTAAAAATACAGGACACAAAGGAAAATTTGAAAATTAACGGAAATTTTCATGAAAAAAATACAGGACCTGGAACAAAATATTCCAATTTAAACAGGACAGGGTTTTGAAATACAGGACTGTCCGTTGTAAACCTACGCAGATGGTCACCCTACCAGAACATCATCCCCAGCGTATAACATATTCATACTCAACAACAAGACTTGAGTAAACCTGAAGAACTGACTCAAGGTAGGTTGTGATCTTCCCCTTTTACGAATTCTAATTTCAAAATCTTACCTCCAAGCATCTCCATTTGTTCTTTTTTGCTGTGAGCTTTGCGTCATTCTTTCTGTTGTTCCTTTATTAGCTTCGCATTTCCTTATCCTGTCTATCAGATATTGAATCAAAGTTTTGTCATCTTTTCCGATTTTAATCCAGCCTGTAAATTCTAAAATGTCAGTGAACACCGTAAAAGCTTTTAGGTTGCAGCCATTTAGTGGTCCGTTTAATGATGCTGACACTATTCCTCGTAGATAAAAAACTCCATTATGAACGACAATCAATCCACTGCCACTATCACCAGTACATACTCCAGTTCCATTAGCATATCCACCACAAAATCCTCGATGACTTAAAAGTAATTGAAATGCATCATGACTGGAATGACACTTTCGGTTGTCATGAATTGGAGTATGAACAAGCCTTGCCACATCTTGAATATCAGCAAATTCACTTTTACCAAATCCAACAACAAATCCTTGATTTTTAGTTGCTGGAATTGAACCAGCTTCTGGTATACAAATTGGTTGGATAAATCGATTGAGTATGACATCAGCTTCTAGCTCAATAATGGCAATATCTGCATCATATTGGTCGATAGAAGGATTCCAGTCATCATGGACATGAATAGCTTTGACATTAACTGTAGTTCTTCCTTTTTCAAAAGATTGTTTGATATTGTGTGCACCAAGCATGACAAAGAAGTCCTGATTATTAAAGACATAAAGTCTTTGCTTGCCTTCGATGCAGTGAGCAGCTAGAAAAAGGAGAGTTTAGCATTAATTTATCAAAATATGGACTTTAAGCAAAACGCTCATTCGAACAGCTCTTGAGCACACTATCTGAGTTAAGTGACCACTAAGACATCAAGAAGTCGATGCCGATCGACAAAAAGTTTCAAGTTTTAACCAGTGCTGATGATTATACTAAAACTCATCAAATGATCAAACTTCGAACCAGCACCTCTAATTAATTGTACAAAATCCTACCTGTAACAACTAAACTCTTTGACACCAAAATTCCTCCACAAAACAACTGTCCATCTCTTCGAATTAGAGCTGCAGTCCTTAAAAAAAATATTTTTATATTCCACATTAGTAATCAGTCTATTATAAATGTTGAAATGCCTTACCATGGATATGCCCCATGACGAACTTGAGATCCCGAAGATTCGCCACTTAGCTTAAGTTTTGATCGTCCACAAGTTGGAATATTTTCCGGCTATGGATATTAAATATTCATCTAATGAGTCTCATTTGTATCTCAATTTTATAAGCAAAAACTAACCTCAAGTAAATTCCACAATGAAGTCGTTGTTGTCGTTGGTTTATGAGTTGTAACTGGGTATGGCCATGGAGGCCTTGGTAGCAATTTTGTTGTTGTTTTTACTTTTCTAGTTGTCGTTAATATTCTTGTAGTTGTTGTTCGAATTTTTCTAGTCGTTATTGGCTTAAAAGTGGAGGTTGTCTCAGTTGATGTTGCTTCACGTATTGTGGTCGTCCGAGGAAAAGTTAAATAATCGGTTTTAGTATTAAATGTATAAGTAATAGTATTTGGTTTGCTTGTTGATCCAAATGTTGAAGTTTCAACTACAAAAAATGGCATTTAATTAATTTTCTTTTGAATTTTTGGAAGATGCGTCAACCTCTCGAGTGCGAACTTAATCTCAAAAAAGATGAAGTGTTTAAAAATCTTATAAAGTTACCTCCACTTTGGCGTGGTTCATAATTCTCAACACACTCATTCAGCTCCTGCAACATCTCACTTTTATTTTCTAAATCTCCTTGATAACAAACATTGCCGTCCATATAAAGTCTAAGGCTATCTAAATTACCAATTAGTGATGGATCAATAGCATAAATATTGTTGTCCTCTAGATCAATAAGAATCTGATTATTATAAGTTCCAAATGAATCTGAATGGATAGTCGATAGCTGATTTTGCCATAATTTGAGTTCGTCTAAATTACTTAAAGTGCTGAAAATCTTTTCCGGAAGGTCAATGATTCCGTTTGCTCCAATACTCAATTTCTTCAGGTTTTTTAAATCTTTGAATGCTTCTGCAAATGGACTGGAAATTTCATTGAAATCCAGATTTAATTCTTCCAGTTTAAACAAGTTGTAGAAGACATTTGCGCTCAGTTCCTTAATGTTATTGTTATTTAATTGCAGAAAAATCAAATTTGTGAGGAATTGAAAGTTTTTCTGGCCTAAATTTGATATCAGATTATTAGACAAGTCTAAATCCTCAAGCATTTGAAGATTTCTAAACCAGTTGTGCACGACATTTTGGATTCTATTGGAATTCAGCTTTAAGACACGAAGTTTCACGAGGGATGAGAAAATATTAACAGGCAAAGTTTTTATTTTATTTTTACTGAGGTTTAAATCACTAAGTTCATTGAGGTTTGCAAAGACATTTTCAGGCAAGGATGTTAGCTCATTCTGCTCAAGACTCAAAGTTGTTAATTTTAGATTTCTTGTAAACAAATGTTCGGGAACTTGGCTGATTTTATTTGAAGCTAGCGACAAAAACTTTAAATTTTCACAATCAAAGAATAAATTTTGGTTCAAGTCAGCAATTCCAGCACTGAATAACTTCACAATTTCCAAATTTTTATAATTCTTGCAAAAAGGCAGCTTAACATCAAACAATTCATTAGTTTTGAATCCGTCGAACTTAAAAGACTGAACATCAGCATCGGTTTTTCCTGACATGTGGCCATTTTCAATAATTGCAGCACTCGAGACTAGTTCACAAGTGTAAATTGATGACGCATCGTGAAATTCTCGAAAATTGCATTTTAATTCTGAATCAATTAAGCCGATGCCAAACAAGAAAATAAAGTTAACTATTTGAATATATTTGAACATTTTTGATCACAAGCTATTTTGAGATTTACGGCAAAAACTAGTTTTTGATAACAATATTGTCACGGATCAATTGTTGATTTAAAAATAACTTTTTCTTTCACTCCACATTTATTCTTTTTTAATTATTGACAAAAACTTAATTTAACAATGTTCACAGCTTTTGAAGTCAATTGACTTTGCGCAATAAATTTAATTTTGAAAAAGTCAATTAATAATTAAATACAAACATTTCAAAATCTACTAAATATTTGCATATTTTTGTGACATTCACATCTGCCAAACACAAACTTGATTAAACATTTGAGACTATCACTGAGAGTGAATAAAAATAAGGCTCAATAACAAGATTCAAAAGAGAAGAGACAATTAGGAATTTCCTGCTCCATATTCAGGAGAATTATTGGATTTCTGTGATTTTATTGAGCATCTCAATTAATGTAGTTTGAATTCTCATTTCTGATTCTTTTCTCATATCTAGCCTTTTTAAAAAAATTCATGAGCACATATTTAAAAGTCGTTCTAGCTTCAGACAGTCAATTTTGCAATGCTAAAGGACAATTTTAAACTGATAATTTGTGTTGGATAATTTATAAATTTTTTTTTTGCTAAACTCCTTTTAATGCAGATTCAAAAACATGTAAATATGCTATTATTGAGAGAAGATGGGAGGATATAATCATAAGTTATTTGCGATTATTGTTTAAAACGTGTCACAATACATATTTATATTTTAGGCAGAGGTCGCTGATGAAACTGGAACAGCAGTGTTATGTTCGATAAGATTGAAAGTAAAATCTGAAATGTAAATTTAAATTTTTTTGTTAAAAATCATGTCTTGATTTCAATTCAAAAACTACCCCAGCAAAATAAGCTTTGCTAATCTTTGTAGCTCCACATATGGTTATTTCAACTGGTTGCATCTTCATTTGTGTGTAAATTGAATTCAAAACCTTCTGACCTTCAAGACTTCCGATAATTTCGTCATCTATTTCGCTTATCTTTTCGATAATTTCTTGTTTCTGGAATTAAAGTTAAATTTAAGTTTCATTAAAATTTGAATATTTTCTGTATAAAATAAAAACACAACTTCTAAGTTTGATAAATATTATAAAAGGTCTGTGATTTCTAGTTAAGAGATTGAGATGTTTAAATCTGACTTTTTGAAATAACTTATTCGAATACTCACAAATTTCTCAATTCTTTGACAGCTGATTATCTGTACTGAAGAGATTGTATGTCCAAAAACCAAACTTAGTAATATATCTGATATAAAAAACCACAAATAAAAATTAATTTAAAATCAGTATTATGTATTTTTCTTGACCTGGTTTTGGTGCTCTGGTGCTGGTTTTTAGAGCAACCCGGAGTACCTTCTCGAGTCAATAAAATAAATACTAGACTACAACTCACCAATAGTTCTCATCAAATCACAAAAGTCATTCAACAGCAAGTGATAGAACCTCAGTGACAAATATAATGTTTGTGAGACCATAAATAAATAAATCGTGATTGACATGAAATTATTAAGCTGCTTAGTCATTTTGATGATGTAAATGTACAGTCGTTTAGATTGATAGATGTTCCTCACCATAATTTGTTCATTATGAACATTAATGGAGATTCTTTCGAGTGATTCGTGAAAATTTCTCAAACAGACCCCAACGATATCAACGTAAAAGCAAATTTTAAACAAAATTAAACAAAATCCTAACATGTTGACAAACAGGCCCAAAAAAAGAAATAATCTGGATGCTTTCGTCATTGGAATTCCAAGCGATAACGAGAAGGATGTCAAAACAACGCCAATAAAAATCATCCGATATTTTTGAATTATCCAAAAATCACCAAAATGAAGCCGTGAATTCATATTTTGTACCAAAAATGATTCAAATTTGTGCAGCAATATGAAAAATTTCTGATTCGATTTGACCTTCACGAATGCCTCAATAATTCCAAATAGAACTTTAGCAGCTGTAAAAAAAGTCACGACAATTTCGAGAGTAAATCCAAGCAAGTTTTCAGTCATGCTGATATTTTTGATCGTGCCATAAAACAGGCCGGAGAAAATATATCCATATAAGTTAAGGACTATTCTAATGATAAAGCTGATGATGTACATTGTTGAGGTAAACTTAACTTTTGACTTTTCATTTAGGTATGAAAGTGCAAAAAATTGTAGACCAAAATATTCTTGAGGCTTTAAATAAGTATTAAGTTTTGGAATTTCAGACATGATCGAACACAAATACAACTCGACTTTAACTTATTCAAACAGGAAATGACAACGAACATTGAATTGCGTTAGAATCGAGTTGAAAATGTTGTAAAATGTAATGGTTTTGTGCTGATTATTGGTTATGATTTGCTGCAAAATATTCATACAAAAGTGTTATTTCCTCCTAAAACTAGTTTATTACCAGAGCTTAAAGTCAATGAAATTTTGTATGAAGTCGAGTCGACTCAGAGTCGACTCCGCAATGTAAAATCGATGAAACTCTCAAGTCGACTTCGAGCTCAGTTTATTACCAAAAACAATCATTAGAATTAATAAACCTGAACTTACTTTAAAATATTTAAAAAATTACAGAAGTCCTCGTGTTATTGATCGAGGGACTTAAGCGAATTTTTGTGTTAGCGTTCAGTATATGATTATCTAGAAGATCATTAATTTTAGTGTAATTAGCAAATAATTATAATGAATGCTTATAAAAAAAGGCTTTATTATTTAACGGTCAATAAATAATTTGAAATTTTCCCTCTAAAAGTTGCACTACGAAAACATTAGTTATAGTATAATTAAATAATTTGTTCCAATCAAGGCGTATACACTCGGGATTTTTGGGATTAATCCCAAAAAATCCCAGAAAATCCCAAAAATCCCAAAAAATCCCGAAAAATCCCAAAAATCCCAAAAAAATCCCAAGTTTCCTACAAAAATCCCAAAAATCCCAAAAATCCCAAAAAATCCCAAAAAATCCCAGAAAATCCCAGCAGAAATATATCATAAACAACATTCTAATCAAAAAATAAGTTGTTAATTAAAGGAAAATTTGAAATATTTTGTTCGCGGATTATGAAAATAAACGTTTTTGCGTTGCACTTGTACAGAAATTGAATTAAAATTCCTCATTTTTCTACTAAATGGTACTTAATAAGTGCTTTTAAGGTATATTAAGCATGCACAATGATAAAATTTTAATTTGTTAATAATTATTAAGTTAATTTTTGGATAAAATTTCAGAATTCAACATTCTGTACAAGTACAACGCTTACAAAAAGTCAAATATTTTCTTAATTAAAGCATGTAGAAGAAACCAATATCAACGCAACGATACAGTTTACCATTTTACATAAGTGTTTTGTGTCCTTGATAGCTTAAAATCTTACAAAAAAGAATTGGAAAAATCTTAAAATACTATCCTAATTACAAAAAAAAATTGCCAAAAAAGCATGAAATTTTCAACTTTTGTATTTTTATCTATGCTGGTCGCAGTTCTGTATGCATTTTGATCCACTCAAATATCTATAACTTTATTCAGAATCAATATTTTGCAATCCGTTTTCGGTTATTGCTAGATTAAATCAGTACCTTTAAAATGGTGTATAAAATTTGTATGAAACTTATACTTCTTATGGAAAAGTTTTTAATGTGACCGACGCAAGCTGAAATTTAACAAAATAGCGAAAATGAAAAATTTTTGATAGGTAACAATATAAAAGTAATCGGCCTGTTTCACATTCATTTCTGTATATGTACTTTAAACTTTTGATTTTCGGTAAGAAGTATTAATCATTCAATTTTCTAGCCAAATCGAGTAGATTAACTTCGATTTTTGTTATAATTCTCAAACTAATGAAGATATAAAAATTCTAAGTACATGTTGATTTAAGGAGAAAAGTACTCTAACTAGATCACACATTAGATCTCTTAATAACCTTGAGCGTCTGGAGAAATTTCCACAAAACTGAAGTAGATAATCCGAAATCGAGGATAATATACTTTAGTGAAACAGGCCGAATGTGTTTTGTCTCAGATGTGTTTTAATATGAAATATCAATGTCTACTAGGGTCATACCTTAAAAGCTACCTTTTACCTGAGATATGTAGCAAAAAGTTTATGAAATGTAAATTTTTGAGTTAAAATAGTCATAACTATCATAAATCATCATAAAAAACTACAAATCAATACTTAAATTTGTTTCTAAGTGATATTTCTAGAAATGACGTTTTTGAAATTTTTCTTCGTTTTGGGTCGGTCACAAACCAGGCTTATTTTCATGACTAAGATCAAACTTAACTATCAAGTTTTATACATCATTTGAAAGGTACTGATTTAAGCTATAATAAAATAAAAACTGAATTAAAAAATATTTATTTTTTTGTAAGAGTACTGGTGGTTTGAGTGAAGAAAAAAACATACAAGTCGTCAGATATCAAAAGTACCCTATATCTCGACCAATTTTGACTTTTTTGAAAAAATTTCTTCAAAGTTCATCTTTAAATAACGTTTAAAATCACAATAAATTTATTTTGCACCTGATTAAGCCAAAGTTGAATACAGTTTTGGATTTAAAAGTCAAGAGCTACACGGTGATATATGGTTTTTAGGATAGAAGTTGGGCATTTACGATGGTTGCGGCACGTTTAAAGATATTTTTCCTTGGATTTTCATACATTTGCTAGCATAAGTGTATCTTTATAATACATCATCATAAAGCTCTTATTTGATACTTTTGAAGAATTCACAACTTTTTTTTGATATCTTTATCTACTGAAGAGATTTTTCAGTTTTAATGAAAAAAATCAAAATTTTCACTTGTTTAACTTCAAACAGCCACATAATTACAAAAAAATTTAAATTTTGACCCATAATGCAAGTACGTGAATTAGGCATGGTAATCGAACGTATTAATATGAATTTACTTACTGAAGATTCGCAAAACGCAATCAACATACGAGATGATATTGATTCTGAATTTCTTTTGAAAGATTATTTAGAAGATAAGAATGTTACATTCAAGACATCAAATATTGGCGTTGATCAAGAAATTGATATAGATGTTCATCAATTCCCAAATGGCTTAATAATAACAAATATAAATTTTTGAAGGAATAATTCCAAAGCAAATTCTTAATTAATAGGAACTTATCAAGGCAAACAAATCATGATTACTAAAAACACCGATACAACCAGACGATATATAGAAAAAAGATGTATAAATTTGACAAGTATCAGAAAAGGAACTGATTTGGGAAGAAAAGGAAATAGGACGTGGTGATCATAGTATTATACATGAAAATGGAATATTGGGAACAGAAAGAGTTTTAAATATGAATTACTCTAACAAAAAGGCAAAAAAGGATAAAAAAATTTTATGAGATTTTGTAACAATTTACAGTTTAAGAGCTAAAGGTTGACAGCTTATTATGTTGTTAATGAACAAATTGTGGAACTACACAAAAATGTGTTTTACAGCGTTAGCAGTTATTCTGTTACACAAGTGAACCAGAACAAGATTTACCAACAGAATATGTAAAAACTATTAATTTATATTGATGATGAATAAGTTTTTATACCATGAAATAACTCTCTTAAAAGTTTTAGAGCAAATTTTCAAGATTTTTACTTCCATAAAAGGAATTAAATTTTTTAAAATATTAAAAATCCCAAAAATCCCAGAAAAATCCCAAAAATCCCAGAAAAATCCCAAAAATCCCAGAAAAATCCCAAAAATCCCAAAAAATCCCAACTTTTTTTTCGAGTGTATACGCCTTGGTTCCAATGAATTTCCATATATAAAAAGTTTATCATCTAACGGTTTTTTGAGATTCAAATTTTCTAACGGTCAGTAAGTTTTTGAAAGCTTCCCGCTAAAAGATACACAAAAAATCATGAATTAAAGTATATTTAACAACTTAATATCTTTTAATTCTCATATATAAATTGTTTATCATTTAACGGTTCAAATTTTGTAACGGTCGTTTGCATTTGAAAGTATCTAGCCAAAAATTACAGTAAAAGTATTAATTATAGTATAAATAACAGTCTGTTGCAAAATATTTTCATATAAACAGGCTTTGTAATTCAATGGTTTTTTGAGATTCAAAAATTTTTAACGGTAGAAATAAATTCGAATTTCTAAACGCTCTCATCACGTGTTTTTTAATATGAAATATAAAAATCATTAATTATTGTAAAACAAACTAGAACTCTCTACGATGTCTAGTTAAAAAGTCTTTCTCCGCCCGAACGAACGAACAAAGTGAGATATTAAGCTACCTTTTCGAAACAAGTTTCAAAAGTGCGCACAAAAATAAAATTGGAATTCTTGTTGTACAGTTAAAGAACCTAAGGAGACACAGCATGTGACATCAAATATCATTTTTTTCTGCATATTTCGACTCATAAATCTGAAGAAGAATGACGACTTTTAATAATATCAGCAATTCAACCTGGAAAACATTTAAATAAGCAATTTAAGCTAATTTCCAAAAGTTCGAATTTGATGTCAAGATCAAAATGTAAATTCAGAAAACTCAAAGTTAAAAGAATCCAAAAAATTCGACACTAATGGCAAAACTCTGCAAAACTTTCACACTCCACTAATTCTCAAACTGGTCGCTGAGATAAACATTGAGTAGCTTCATGGAACAATAAATTCAGCATTATAAATATCTAACAAAAATACACAATCTTAAATGAAATTTCTCTTTTAAAAAACTTTGCTCGAATTGAAGCTCCAAAAACTTTAAATAATGCAGCAAGAAATGACCAAAAGACATAAAATTTGACAGGATATCCAAAATGGGTGTTCTTTAAATTAACGGTCAAAATAAATTTGAATTTGCTCACGAAACATTTGCCGAGTTTTTTACCGCTATGTTTTTTTATCGAGAACATTTAAAGTGCTCTGGTTGCAAGAAGATGAAGCAGAATTGAGGCTTGAATTGTTTTTTAAGCTGTTCAAGAGCTGACTGTGATAACTGATTTAATGGTATCATATAAGATGGATGAAAAATTTGTAAGGCAATTTCATAGAGGAAGATCTCGTGCATTGGATGTTTTGAAAAGGAAGCTAGTATCTTTAATATTCTAAACTGGCAGAAGGTTTCTAAGGATAGAACTGTCTTGAGACGATCTCTAAGTGCGGCAATGGGCCCACTTGCGCCTTAGTCAAAGAAGAAGTAAGTAATTTTGAAGCGAAGTTTAAGAAATTTTTACTGAGAATTTTGGACACGAATTATCCGCACAGTTCTACTAATTAGGAAATAACTTTAGGAACTTAATTTATCATAAAAAAATCATACAAAAATCGCCTTTATTTATTAATTTAATTTTTTTGACAATTTCTTTTTTAATTTTTTATAAAAGTCAGTAAAAATTTCTAGATTTTCAAACCAAAACGACGATGCACGTGGAATACCGATATAACTCTCAACTAACCCCAATGCTGACATACTCGTTGGTGGAATCTTTGTGTCAAAATATTCTAGCAACAGCATTTCTTCATCCTCAAAAAGTTTTTCTAAATAGTCCACAAATATTTTGCAAGGTTCTAGTAAAGTCAGTACAATGACATAGTAAGGAAGTTCCACTGAGCTTGTGATGATTTTTTGAAGTTCTTTCTTGGTAAAATGGTTATTATAAATGTCAAAAGTAAAGTTTAAAGTAGGTCCATCGAGAATTGTTAATGCTTTTTGAAAGACATTGAATGGCATGAAGTCATAGTGATAATATCTGTATTTATACCTTGAAATTTTAATCTTGAAATCTGAAATCATTGAAGTAAAGTAAAAATTATTGTCATCCTCGTCAAGTTGTTTTAAAATATCCCGTCTTTGATCTCTTGTCGTATAGTTACTCAAGAAGTACCAGAAAGACTCAAAAGCATATGCATAATCATGAGAATCATGAAGAATGTTGTTGGTCGAAAACATTTCATAAATTTCTAAACTCGAAAAGTTTTGAGATTTTGTAAAATCTAATAGAAAATCCAAGCATTCTTGACTGCCTTGTTTTAAATAAGGGCTGATTCCGTTAAATTGAATTAAGGCATTTGAGATGGCTGCTATTAGTTCTGATTTAGATAGGATGTTTTTAAGGCTATTCCATAGCTTCAGATAGTCACATTTGAAACTACTAAAGTCGGTTATGAAGTTTGGAATTTTCTCATAATATAGGTAAGCTTGAGGATTAACAGCAACAAGCAGAACTTCTTTTTTCTCAGCTTCTGTCAGATCTTCTAAGAGTGTCTCAAAAAAATCCAAAAAAAATGAGAAACTCAGATTTTCGACCTGTCCATTGAGGATTTCTGAGTGGAATTTGGACACATTTTGATGACTTGCTTCTTCTATTTTATCATAAACATAAATGCCGTACATAATGACACCCTTTTGATTCCTTCCATTGATCATGTTATTACAATCTTTCGACTGCAAAAGGTAATTGGACATTTGCCTAAATCCTTTCGGATTTGTGAACAATGAAAAGGAGTTTGGGTCAAAAATGGCAGTGTATAATGTCTTAGCTTCATTAACATGCAGTAAGTCAACCAGCAAACTATAGTCTTTCTTGAAAAAATCAAACAAAAATTCATAGACTTTCGGAAAATTCGTGTCGAGCAGTCTGAATAAAAATTTCCTAAATTTAGTCCTTAAAAGTTTAGAAATAGCCGGTGCAAATTTTTCATCCATACGCTCCTCCTGAATGTTTAGAAAGTCAGACATAAAGTTTGTTATTATGTCCTGCTTCTCACCAAAGTCCTTGGTCATCTTAAAAAACAATTCAAGCCTCAGCTCAGCTTCATCCTTAGTTACATCCTTGTCTGCATTATATATATTCTCAATAAAGTATTGAGCTATGAAGAATTCAGCAAATGTCTTGTGTGCAAATTCAAACTTATTCTTGCCGTTGATATACAGGATGCCCATGCCTGAAATCTCCTCAAATGGCAAATAATCTGGAATATCTTCTTGCATAATCTGAAGTTTGTTGAGCTTAATTCCAATTGTGCACATGCTGAAGAGGTTCAATTCATTTAAAAATGCATATTTTTGGAATATCTTTATAATATTGAACTTAGTTCCTTTGGATATCATTTTTCCGACTACTTTTTGTGACATTCTTCCACGATCCAACCAAATTTCAACTTTTTTCTGCACAAATGTTTCATAAATCGCATAAGTATTCTGTAATTTAAGCATCATCTCATTCTCGTATGTTTCCGCAATCAGCTTCAACATTAATGGAGTGTTAAAGACACGGAACATAAAATGATCAAAACTTAGTTTAACGACTACTTCCTTCACTTCTGCAATAGCCTTAACAACAAACTCTTCTGTCGTGTTTTTCAAAATGAAAAATTGCTGCAAGAAATTTTCCTTGTCTTTATCATTGAATGCGACTAATTGCCATGCATGGACTCTAAATGTATCAACTAATTGTTTGGAGTAGAGTGGTCTGGTACATACAAATTGAGTTACATTAGTTGTTCTATGGATATTAAGGATTAAATTGACAATAAACTCGTTATGAGTTGGCGAAATCTCATCGAACCCGTTCCAGAGGAACACAACTTTCCCAGTCTTAAAGAGCTCCTTGAAAACTCCCTTTTCGAATGAATTTTCATCGCTTAACCTTAATATATTCAACAACAACTCCTCTGTTGACAACTTTTTGCCATATAATTCTGTATGATTCTTAAGATCCACATAAGATACCCAAGTTACAGGAAACTTATTCTTAATCAAAACAGACAATTGCTTGAATGTTGTCGTCTTTCCAGCACCGGCTTCTGAAGATAAAATCAATATTCTGTCTTCTTTGACTTTCTCTAAAAACTCATTAACATGCCTTTGCATGAACGTAACATTATGATGACTTGAATCATAGTAACCTGACTGCATTGCCTTATTATCCTCAACCTTGTCAAGAATTGACCTTTGAATCTCAAAAGGTTGCTTCAAAAAATCCTCCGTAAATTCCTCGAATGTCTTATTATGCTGTTCTATTCTTTTTCTTACATGTTCTTCTCGAATATTGGGCTTAAGTATGTATTCATGACCGTAAGCGTACTCAAACAAAATCGATTTAGCATCTTCAGAAATAAATTTACGTTCAACATAAAAGTCAGTGTCATTTACAACTTTAGTTCCAATTATCAATTTATTCCCAGAAAATACATTGATAATTTGTTGGGATGTTAGATTATTGAATGACTCATTGCTTTGCTCTTTGAGGTCTTTGAAAGTTATATTTTGTTCTTGGAAATTAAGATAAGATTGTAAGAATTTTTTCTTCAATTCCCAATGCATTCCATCCCACTCAAAAGTAACAATATCATCTAAGTAATGCAGCAGTGGATCATTAATGTTCAACGCGACTCCACCCAACATATCTGTGATATGATCAGATGTCAACTTCAAATATGCAATTGAGCCATTTCCAAACAAGTCCTTAAATTGAACACTGACATTACTGTAGCTAACAATTGAGTTCCTAACCTTTTCCTGATTTTCAGCTGACAGCTCATCAAACACATAAGTTGGCTTATAGAAGAACATTCCAACCATTGCAGCTATAAGAATTCCCAACCCAATTGCGATGTAGAAATTTCGGGTCAATTTAAAGATTTTCTTATCTTTCTCTTTAATTTCTACGTCTGCCTTTTTTCTGATGCTTGGAATTGCTTCCATCATTGTTGGTATAACCTTCTCGGTATAATAATTGAATAATTCAGCATAAAAAGTATGAAGTTCTACCAATTTCTCAGGTTGGTTGTCATAAAAAGCAATCATATGTGAAGCACGAACAATAAGCTCGGCTTCATGCACTGATGGACTTTCTTTGAATGCAAAGTCGATGATTTCTTCATATCCTTGATTTGCTTTACAAATTTGTAAAATTTTCTTGAATTCTTCTTTGGATGTTTGATCAGTTTTTGCATATGGCTTTGCAAAGTTTTTAAATGTCAAGTTAATAGCATAGTGACAAAGCTCATGTGCTAAAGTTCCAAATGTTTCATGTTCTGTTAATGGATCAAGAAGCTGCTTAGCACCAACACAGATGTTTCCATTCAAACGATAGAATCCACGCATATCAATAGGAGCAGTTGGATCCACAGCAGCAACTGAGTTTCGTTTAAAGTCAAAAATGATGTTGAACCTTTTCGATGCAGCAACGACTTTAAGGATTGGATTTAAACTTGGATTCTTGTTGAGGAATCTGTACGCACGTAATACTAGATCCTCCTTTCCTTCCTTTTGCATGTCATCGTGACTGATTGATGTGTTCATCATGAGAACATTCATGTGATATTCAGGTAGATCTTTTGAGCATCGGAAATGAATTTCTCTAAGAACTGTTTTGTCGTTCTCATTAAGACCTGAAAAGACTCTTGCAAAATGCTCGTGCGGACCAAATGAGATGTCATTGGATAGGAGAAGTTCATACATGCTGTGCAGCTTCTTCTCGAGAGCAATTTTGAGCACAGATTCGTTGTTTTTGTTGTAAAAGTGACGACGGTTTGGATTTAATTTGAGAATCTCCTGAATTTTTATGACATTTTTGACAATGACTGCATCATGAAGGTCTTCACATACTTGAATGTATTGCTGAATTTCTTCTGGTAACTCTATAGATTTAATTCCTGGTGGATATATGAAATTTCCTTGGATCAACATGAAAAGTACATCATAATGCTTATTTCTCCAGGCTAACGAGGACGCATTAAAGATTTCATTTGGGTTGTCTTCGAAGATACCCAATTCAAGTAATATTCGAACGCATTTAATCTCTCCTAACTCTGCAGATAGTTGAAGTATGTTGAGATTGTCTGAGTCAACCAGTTGATTAATTTCAGTTTTGTTTGACTCAGCACTGTGGTTTAAGCTGTGTGTTATACCTAAAAATAGTGAATTATTGGGATGTAGACTTGTTCTGTATATCAAATGTTTTATTTACCCAAATGGTTCTTGCTCAATGAATGAATCAAATAATCTGCAATGAATCCATAAACTTCTTTGCATTCGAGAATTGTCAACTTTTTTGGGGGTGCCAAACTTAAAAAATAATCAATGTCTTTTGTTTTCCAGTAAATAAGCATCAATTTGTAATCAGTAGACATGAAGAAGATAACAACAGATTTCGTGTTGAATATCACACTTAATTTAGTGAGCTGTTGTTGATTAAGTTCCTCGAAAGGCTCCTCAATTGTGTATAGAATTTGTAAAGCCTGCTTAATATTGCTTAAATTATTTTCTACTTCTCGAGACTCAATATATAATAATGCATTATTAATATTGCTAAAGGTTTTTGGCCACTTGATGAAATTTAAGTCAGTTGACGGAGCTTGATCCGAATTCGACTGCATAGTTTCAGGTTCATTATCAACTGGAAGATGATCAAAACCTTGCATCATAGTAGCATTAAATATTGTGAGTTCATGTTCATCTAGAAATGAATTATATAAATTTAGACAGATTATTCAATTTAAAGTGCTGTAAAATTCATGTGGTTTTGCTTTTTTTCTGCTTAAAAGAGATTGTGCTTTATGTTACGAAGAAAAACTTGAAAGTATATGAGTCATTCCCACATCGATCCTTAATGTGAGATCATCCACTGTTTTTTATCTTTTTACACTAGGGCTAGTTTTTAGGGCACTCTAGATTAGGAATTAAATTCAATGTTTTTCAATTTGATGTGAAATTATTTTTACATAAGATTAGAGTGCCCCTGAAACTCCGGCTCAAGGTAAAATTACTATCTGACAGTGTTTTAACCTTCAACCTTGTTTGAAATTTTTTAATAATTTTTTTCTGTCTACGGTTGTCACAAAATATGATGATTTTTGAACCTTCTTGTTCTCTTTAGATACAGTAGCGGCCAAAAGTATCCGGACAAACACAAAAATGTCTATAACTTTTGACTGGATGGTCCAATTTAATTCAAATTTTCACTGGAAAACGTAAAATTGAAAGACAATTAATAAAAATATTACGTTAATAACAAATCTTTAAAACCAAAAATTTTATTTTAAAAAAACTAAAAATTGAATGGACAAAAGTATCCGGACAAAATTAAAAGTTTAAGAAAAAACTACTCTTTACTAAGTAAATGGCTTATAATGGATAGAATTTTGAGTTCTTCTGTTTAGTACTTTGTTTGGAAGCCCTTAGCATCAATTCCTGCTTGACATCGTCGCGGCATTGAGTCCACCAGCTTAATCAAAACATCTATCGAGATCTTTTCCCAAGCATCCTTAATTATGGTGAACAAAGCATTCTGATTTGTAGGTTTTCGACCTGGAATTTGTCTCTCTACATGTTCCCAAAGATGCTCAATCGGATTAAGATCCGGACTTTGGGATGGCTGTTCCAAAACTCGGATCTTCTTAGTTTTAAAAAATTCCTTAACGACCTTCGATGTGTGTTTGGGATCGTTATCCTGCTGGAAAATCCAACCTCGAGGCATAACACGTTTGGCATGGGGAAGCATTACTCTGTTGATGATATCTTTATACATTTCCTTGTCCATAATACCAGTAACTCGATGAATCGGACCAACTCCATCACGACTAAAGCATCCCCACACCATAACGTTACCTCCACCATGCTTAACTGTCGGTAACTGATACTTAGGATCGTTTCTATGACTCTTTGGTCGTCTCACAAACTTTATTCCATCAGATCCAAACAACATAAACATTAATTCATCACTCCAAAGAACTTTTGACCATTGCTCGCGAGTCCAATTAAGATGTTCCTTGGCAAATTTTATTCGGGCATTTCGATTCTTTACAGAAACAAACGGCTTTTTGACGGGACGTCGTCCAAACAATTCTGCATCATTCAATCGACGTTTAGTTGTTCTTGTCCTCACTTGAACATTGTAATATTCCTTCATTTCTGCATTCAATGTTACAGCACTCTTACGCGGATCAGCTCTCGATGCATTAATTAAAGCCTTATCTTGTCTTGCAGTTGTCTTTCTGGGTCTTCCTGATTTCGGTAACACGTTATGATTATTTCTTTCTCTAAATCGTCGAACAACATCAGCTATTGTGGACTTTCCAGTACTAAATTGACGTGCAATGTCTCTGTAATTTCGTCCCTGATCTACAGCACTAATAATTGCTTTTTTAACTGGTGAACTTAAATATTTTTGAGTTGACATGATAAATATAAACAAAAAGCACAAAATACTTAACAAAAAAGCATTCGTTCAGTGGGAGAGAAGCTTTTTAAACAAATTTCCATTAAACTTTTAATTTTGTCCGGATACTTTTGTCCATTCAATTTTTAGTTTTTTTAAAGTAAACTTTTTGGTTTTAAAGATTTGTTATTAAAGTAATATTTTTATTAATTGTCTTTCAATTTTACGTATTCCAGTGAAAATTTGAGTTAAATTGGACCATCCAGTCAAAAGTTATAGACATTTTTGTGTTTGTCCGGATACTTTTGGCCGCTACTGTATAAATAAGTAAAAACATACCTTTAATATTGTCAGAATATATATCACTCATTTTTTGAATGATAAATTGCTGTATTCGAAGACGTCTGGAGCTTAACTGAGCATTCAAAAACTCTAGCATAAAATTAACAAATGAGAGAAAAATATAATTTTATAAGTAATGCCATGAGTTTAAAATTAAAGAGAAATTAGTATTTTTCTGTTTTATTATCAATCACATGTTGGAAACGAGACCTCAATTGTTTGATAAGAAGTTGCTCCATATTTGCAACATTGTCAAATCATGCGGTTAGTATAGTTGTTCAAAATAGTATCATGTTAGTTTTACTAAGAATATTTTAATTTTTTAAATATATTGTTCAGTTAGCAGAGAGAATAGAGAAGCTTTAAAAATGATGCATAGCTGTAGAGGAATTTCTTTTTCAAGTCTTTAAACACACAAAACATACACGATGATAAAATAATAGAATTAAAATGTTTTTTAAGCGTTAAATTGTGATTAATTTTTATGTTTAAGTTTGATGCAATCAGCTTTAATTAAAATTAAAGTGACTTTTACAAAAATTGTGATATTAAGCAAAATTGTAAAATTAAATTCTCGTTGTTCTTTCAATTGTGACTTTATTTACAGTTTTACACTCTCGATTGGACATATCTCTGGTGTCGCAGATATTAAAATTCTTAAAAAAGAGAAAAATTTGCGTTAATATTTAAATTTTGCGATTATTCATATAAATACGTCGTGCGTGCTTTGAGATCCAGCGATTTCCAGAAGTAACAATTTATCGTCATTTATTCAACATTCGGTTATTTGTAAAATTCAGGAGCATATATATCTTGTTGTTTTCTTTTCAAAATTGGACATTTTGAGTAACAAAATTTTTGTCTGCTACAAGCAGGCTACAAGCTTTCGTAAATTTACCTAAAGTAGTTGCATATATGACTTTGACACAAATAGAAGAAATTTTAAAATTAGAAAGACATGAAAAATACAATTTTTAAATTATTTAAAGATTTTCAATTTTATTTCGCTACTACGAATTTCGATTCTCAATGATATTTTTTTAATTTAAATTTTGATCACTTAAAGTTTTCTTCTTTCATTCCATTTCATGTAATTACTAATTAATTCAAAATTTTTTATAGCATTTTATTTTTAGTATTTCTATGAATTATTTTAATCCAATTAAAGCAAATTTTACATGATTTTTTATTTTTATTATTTAAAAATTTTAGCTTAATTTTTCTTTAATTTCATAAATTTAGATTCAATCATTTAATTTTAAAAAAATTATTTTTAAATTCAAATAATATTAAATTGCTGCTTGTGCTAATGATTTTAAAATTAAATTCCAATTGAAGGACTTTATAATTAAACTTTTATCAAATGGAATTTTTTAAAAAAAAGGAATTATTCTTATTTTAAAAATTCAAAAAGAGATTGCTTTTTAAAAAATTAAATAATACGAAATTAAAAAGAATTTAAATTTTTGTAAAATTTTAAAAGAGTTTAAAATAATTTTTTGATTAACAAATTAAATTGATTAAAAACTAAACAACAATAATTTCGACAAAAATTTGAATTTCAACTAAAGTTATATTTTAAATTTTTATATTATGATAAGTGAAACAGGATTTTTTACACATTATACAGAAATTATGGGTACGTTGACATTATTTTTTTTCTCACAAATTAATCATCTTTATTATTTCGACGACCAGATTTTCCTATGAAATTTCAACACATTTTGATGTCCATTTCAAGGCTTCGACAAAAATTTCTAAATTTTTTTAAAATTTTTATAATTAATGCCTTAGCCTTAGTTTTATCCAATAAATATTGATTTGAAGTTATTTCCTTAAAATAAATGTTATTTAATTACTTTTTAATATCATACATTTAATAATACTTGTCAATTATTGGTGGCGTGCATTTCTGATTTTCTCAATTAATAATTTACAACCTTACTTCCACATCATTTTTCCATTAAATACTTTACATGATAAGTTGAACTTTTTTATTTTTTTTTTATTAAAGGATGGCAAAGTTAGTATTTATTGAATAGTATATTTCATAATAGGGTCAAGTCTCGACATTTTTTATGAATAAAGTGGATCCAGATCACTTAAGGTTTCACAATGCAACAGCCTCGATCTAATTTAACCAATAAGCTACTCAATAAATGATAACTTTGACCCCATTTGATCATTCCAAAAAATGTTATTACTCTAAATTCTAAATTTAGCTTCCAAAAAATTATTATTTCTTTCCTAAAATTTAAACATTTTTTTCCTCAAATATTTCATTTTTTGATATGACGAAATTTAATTTCATTTTTTTTCACAAAAAAATCCTTAAATTTTTTTTTAAAAAATTCTTAATTTTTACTCAAATCCTCAACTTCATCTTCCATCTTTTCATCCTCATCATCACCATAGTTGCTCAAAACTTCATGTTTCACGAGATTCTCAGCATGATGATTATGATATGCAGCTGATGATGCATTTTCTGAATCTTCCGGTGAGTTTAAGCTGTCGTTGCGTGAATGATAAAAACGCTCTTTTAAGCTTCTTGGTGATAATCGTGACTTGCGTCGATGATGATCGAAGCTGTATGCATTCATCATTTCCATGTGAGAGTCGAGCTTCTCGTGAGAACTACAATATGGAAGAAGAAAGTATGTTTTGAATTTAAATTAATGTAATTAAAATGTTTGACTATGTCATTGACTCCAGGAACATTCGAGTCTCAATTCACCTGATTTTGACAAGACTAAAAGATGAAAAATTCAGTCAACTTACTTGCTAAAGTTCTGCACGCCATTTGGAGATCTTGATGGGCTCAGTGATTGTGAGCGAAATTTGTCATGTTTGATATGATTTGCCATTGTTCCATTGTCATCTAAGAGATTTGATGGTGAGAGCCAGAAATTCTGGAAAATAAGATGTTGAAATTTAATTTTTAAGGTTTAATTGTTTAAATTTGGTTTGAGCTGATCTGAATTTTATAAAGCTTTGCAATGGTTTTTGTCATTTTGAAGCATTATTGCGTAATGTCAGCCACAGAGGTCTATCTCGAAACAAACTCTCGCTTGCTAGCATAAAGCAGCTATAGACAAAAACCTAGCTTTGAACATCAATTTGAAAGTTGATTAATGCGTCAAATTTACCTGCAAATTCAAAGCCATATTTTCACCATACATCTGATTCTGTGATGGGCTGTGCAATGATCGTGGACCTCGTTGAAGATTCCTAGATTATCGACGATAAGATATTGAAAATTAGAAATCTAATACAAAAAATTGTACTTAACAGTTAGTAAAATGAGTAAGAGATTGAATGAAAAGTTCATATTTAGAAAGTAAAAAAAAATTACATTTAGAGTTGAAAGAAAAGACAAAAAGAATTTTTTTATGAAAAGAATAGAATGATAAAGTAATAGAATAAATAAGACATATAACAGAACAGATTAAAGAGGAAGTAGACATAGAAATTTCATACATTTAAGTTGATAAGGTTTGAGGTTCATGCGGGATACATATAGAGTAGGGAAGGTTTATTCATACGATTTAAGATAAGCACATGCAGATTATTAAATTCAAATTCATGCAGTTTTGAAGGAGTGACATATAAAAATATTTTATTTTGGTCTTCAATAAAAAAATAAATTTCTTAATTTTGAAGCTATAATTATCAAATTTTAATTACATCAAAGTATTAAAATTAATTAATTTGTTTAAGTTTTATGAATGCCATTTATACTTTAGCAAAAATTATTCATTTTTTCATACTAAGTCATGCTTTATTAACACTTTTTCCATGCATCTAGCTGCATACATTTACAAGTTCAAGAATCATGCAAAATTTATATATTTACAGATTTTAAAAATTAAGCATTTGGCGTTATTTAATAAAATTAGCAGTTTTGGATTTTTTTTTTCTTAGATGTGCAGCTTAAAAGCACCACATAGAACTAGATTTTTCACTATTTGGAGTGAATCCTACCATGGATGTAGCCAGAACGGTCTGAGCAAAAGGTTTAGGATTGGACATTTTTTAACGGAGCTCAGACCCTCCTGGCAACACCCATTGATCCTAGCAATACAAATCGCTTCTTATCGTGTGTTGATAGGGATAATCAAAGATGCATCAAGTTACAGTAAGTTTAATAGAATTTATCCTAAATCTGATCTAGAAAAATATCATAAAAGCAGCTTTTAAGCAGTTCCAAGCATAACAGTAACATAAATAACTTAAGCATAGACTTTTATAAACAAATGTCAATGACATATTTTGGTTGACGATTTAAACAACAAAAAATTATAAAAATATTTACAATTTTATAACATAACTTAACAATATTGAGTCTTAAAATTTTAAACATAAATTATTTGAACCACGGATGCAACTTGTCCCTCAGTTTATTGTACATTATAAATCCCAATTATTTATTAAAATAAAACAATTTCTTTCAACTTATAATGATGCCCCAAAAAATATGAAAAAAAAACCTAAAATCATAAAAAAAATAGTCTCAACATAATTTTTGCAGATAGCAACAAAGTCTTACTGTACAACACCAGCAATTTGTCCATCATTTTGCATTCCGTTCGCATCATTCGGATCGCAATAATTTGACGACGGTGTTGAACTTGTTGGCGATCGATATGCACCAGTTGTTGTCCCGTCCGAATCTTGATTGACGCCATTACCACCCGACGGTGCCTGAGAACTGCACAAACTTTGACAATTTGCAACAACAACGTGAATATTTTTTTGTTTGAAGATTTTAAGTGAAAATATTTTCATACTTGCGTGGTCTGCCGCGCGACAAATGTCGACGTTTAACAAACTCATTGTCATCGACCATCCAAAAACTGCCAAAATCGTCTTCGTAGCGAACGAAACATTTGTGAAGTGACAAATTGGTCCGAATTGCATTCTACGTTGTTCAGTTGCAAGTTGTCAATTTTTTTAACATAATTTTTTTACATTTTTCATTTTATGGAATAAAAAAAAAGATTTTTTTTGGATGTAATTAGAAATTTTTTGTGAACAACACTGAGAGTTGCTTTCTGATTTAAGTTTTGATTTAAGACCCTTAAGTACCTTAAAATCCCCTTTTAATCCTCCAGAATTTTTGTCCTTTTGAGACCCAATAGAAAGTAAGAAAATTTTTGTTAATTTATCTCATTTTTTTAAAATTTTTTTTGTTGTTGTTTTAGGTTACGACATTTTTGCTATATTTCCCATACTATGCAATAATCAATTGATCCCCTTCCTTTACCCGATAGCCCATACCCATGACATTGTCTCCCGATTTGCATATTTTTTTTACGACTTCAACCAAATTACCCCAATCGAAATGACTTTTAGTCTGATGGAATAAAGTAATAAATAGAATTGATGATAGATTCTGATATTGGTAGGGTGCCCATCTGGACTTAATTGATGCAAATGGCTACATTTCAAACAATAGCTACAAAATCTTGAACGTAAGTCTAGTTATTGTCAAAATATTAACCTCAGTAGGTGTATTTGTGACCACACATCACAAGAACAGTCAGTTTTATCTAAAAACTACAAAACTAATCCTAAGGTATAAAGTATTCACAGATAGACACCCCAAAACTCACGTGCAGACTCAGAAAATTGTCTGATTCGTCCAATTTATGGACACTATTTGATAAATAAGAGAAAAATCATAAACATAAACATCAAGTAAAGAAAAAGAAAAAGTTGAAATGCAAATAAAGCAAAACAATGAAAATAAAAGAAAACTGTAGGAAATGGAAAGAAAAACATAAAGAATGGAACATAAATAAAAAGGAATTGAGAAGCAAAAAAATTGAAAATCAATATTAGCAATAAATATAAATGAGGAGGAAAATGAAGCTAAAGTTAAAGGAGATAAATGTGACAAAATAAGAAGGGAAATTTTTTTCTTGTCACTAAGAAGACAGGAGAATTAAAGGAAGATTGAGGAGGTTGATTAAAAAATATTGGCATTTTAAATTTATTTTTTTGTAAGTGAGTTTGAAAATTGAAGGTGAAAATTAATTGCATATTTGTAGATATTCAGAATTTGCTAGAAAGCAAGCTTAAGTTTATAAGCTAGTTTACCATTCTTGATGTTTTATTTAGCTATATTATTCTAAATTATAGTTTTAAAATATAAGTTTTGATTTAGGTTTGAATATGAAAGTCATGAAATAGGTTAGAGTATTTTACTTAAGACTTAAGCTATCCTTGAAACCTAAATACACCCATCAACTTAACAAACCACCTAGCCAGATACCCAGCCACCTAGTCAACTGATCCCACCAGTCCCTTCCCGTAAGCACATTCCCTACAAGTATTACCTAAAATTCTACCTGAAATTGTCATTATCGCAATCAAAAAATCTACCAAATTGACAATAACATTTTATATGTTAAACAATTTTCATTCAAATATTTTCAATCTTGTTTTATTCCTTAATTTTACATTCAAATCTGATCAGAAAATGAAGTCAATCGTTTTTTGTGTCTTTATTTTTTTCTATGCAAATTACAAAACATTTAAAATCGCTATCAAGAATCACAAAACCACTTAAAATTTGAAACCGAAAAAAATTTTCTACACCAAAAGTTTTCTTAGCATTCTTTTAAGGCACTTTAAGACACCTTTTGTATTGGAAAATTACTTTTTCATTGCCTGCCATGCTTCACTTAAATTTTAGAAACTTTTTTTTTGTTTCTTTATGTTTTGTGAATCTTGAGTGAACATTTAATGAGTGTTGAATGTCGAGTGTAACTTTAAAGTACTTTTTGCACCCATCAGAAAGCAGTTAGAGCAATTGAGAAAGACATTAAATACTTTTCAATGACTAGAAAGTATAAAGAATGAAGTTGAGCATGTTAAGAATTGTTTTTGTTTATTTATTTGCACTTTTGGGATGTTTGGAGGGGTGGGTCGTGTACTGCGGGGTTTGTAACTTTTAATAGTTTATAAATTAAGTTCTCTAGAGCAGAGCTCGAAGTCGAAAGGGTCCAAGTAGACTTGAGTTGACTTGACTTGACTCAAAACCAGAGTCAACTCGGTAATTTTTTTGTGAAGAAGTAGACTCCGAGAAAATGAAGTCGACTCGAGTTGACTTCGAGCTCTGTTCTAGAGTTTCCTGAATTGAGTTGAAATAGGTGAAGGTTTATTTAAGGCAGAGGATGTGCTTTTGTAAAGGGAGGAGCTTAGGATAGGGTATAGCATGGAATATAGGGGTAGGAAATGGAGCAAAGGCAGTATGGTACTGAGAACAGTAAGATACTTTGGATAATAACCGATCCCTGGATTTTCTAATAACAGCTCAAGTTACCCACCACCAAACTCCAGTGCAAAGTCATTCTTAATTCTAATTTAAAACACACCACAATAAATTATTTCTGTTTGTTTCAAAAAAATATTTTTAAAATTGAAAACTTTTGAATTTTTTTTTGTGTTAAACACAAAACAGAAAAAAATAAACAAAAAAAAATCCACAAAATAAAGTTTTTCATTAAATTTTCTTTTTCTGCTGAGGAGAGAAAAAAGAAAGAAAAGACAGAAGAAGTAAAAGAAGTGAAAAATTGGAAAAGTTTTTTTACCCACAAAGCGACTTTTTTGCCTCCTTAATGTCCTTTCAATCGATTTTTCTTTACTTTTGTTTTCTCAATTGTGTCTGTACTTTGATTTCTTGATATTTTTTCGATCTTGACTTTCTTGAGTGACTTCACATTTTTTCTACTTACCTTGACAAATTCTTTCATTTGTCTCTGCTTCGACCTTCGCCCAGATTTTGATTTTTTTTTTCGAGTGGTATTTAAAGTCGTTGATGAAATGTTCTTTGATCTTAAACAAGCTTTTTTTAAAGTGATTGAAAACTAGTGTAAATATATTAAGGCGCCTTCACACTAGAGCTCTTATGTTAAGGTGTTTTAACATTAAAGTTCTGATGTTAAGGTGCCTTTACATGATTTTCATGTTAAAAATGTGGCATTGAAGTTCTTGGTTAAAATGCATTCACATTTAAAATTTAAGATTCAGGTGCCTTCACACTTGTGCTTTAAAAATCAAAGAATAATCTCAACCAACTCAAAACACCAAATAGATTAAAAAGAAGACAAAAACAATCGATGGATATGAGAAGAACACAACAGAGACACGAGGAAGTCAAAGAAGCATAAAAATTTCTTAAATGGCATGGAAAACCACAAAAGAAAAGTTCATGGTTCTCAATTCTTTCTCTTTCCATCAAAATGTTTTTGTTCTTTTTTTCCTAATTTTCTGTCTGACTTGACTCGAACTTTTCGATTTATTTTGAACTTTTTATGTATTTTTTCGTATTTTTAATGAGTTTTTTTTCGGGTATGAATTTTATTTTCATGAGAACAAAATTAAAAGTTTTGAGTGAAAATAAATCAAAATAAAAATCGCCACGATGCCAATTATTTATGTAATGATTTCAAAAAAAGTGAAAAAAATATATAAAAAAATTCTACCAATTAGTAAGAAAACTTTTCATTTTGCACAAATTCAATTCCAATTCAAATTCAAATGTTTGAGTTTAGAAAATAAAACCACAAAAAATAAGTCAAATTCCAATCAAATTTATTATTCAAGTTACTTTTGAAAATATTAAAATTAAGTTATTGAAAGAGAATAGAAGAAGTAGAGGAGGTAAGGAGCAAATAAAACTCTCACAGGACGATCACAGGAAATAAAATTGCAATTAGAAAAATATTTGATTTTTTTTTGCAAAAGAGTTGCAATTTTTTTAGTAATGAAATGAAAATATAGGAAATATTTGTGAGTTTTTAATTAGATAAAGAGAAAGTAGAAGATGAATTTTAGGTTAGAAAGATGAGATTTGACTAAATGGTTGCACTAGTGGTTCATTATTGATTCTTTGGATGAAAAACTTCAAACTTGATATTAATCTCGAATGACACAAGTCGGTTAATCGATCATAAATCTAGTCGCTAGTCGCCAGATTTCTATTTGATTAACCGAATTAAGCTATTCGGGTATTAGGTTCATGTTATCAAATATTTGATCCTTCATGTTGACCAAACCAAATCCACTTTCCACTATAGTCACATAAGTTTGATTTTAGGTGTATCCAATTTAAAACAGTCCAAAGAGGTTCAATGCTGACCATCCAAACGCAAATTATATTCAAAATCTCAATCTTTTTAACCAAAATGATGTTATTGAAAAAGAAATCATTGCTAGATGATGAAATAGAATTATCAGAAGAGCAAGAAAGATAAAAATTTATTTGATGTGAGTTAAAATTTTGATATTCAACTAAAACCACCACAAAAACTCAAGAACAGATTTTAATTTTTAAAAAATAAAAAAGAGAAAAATATTAAAGAAAGATGAAAAAAATTAAGAAGTAATGTTTGTGATGAAGAGTGAAAAAATTTAGTTTCGGAAAAGTGAAAATGTTGGAAAATTTTTCATTAGTTTTCGAAAAAAGTTCAAAAAATCTACAATTAAATGATTTAACTACAGTAGAGACTACAAAGTTTTTTGAGCTACAAAAATAGTTTTTAATTCCAACATACCCGACAGCATTGTGTCCACCATCGCATTGCGGTCCATTTCCGTTTCCACCTCCATTACCAGACGACGACGTACAACGTTGCGGTCTCCTTTTGTAAAATTCTATTTCATCTACAGTCCAAACTGCTCCTTTTACATTCTCAACTCTCATAAAGCATTTATGGAGCGATAAATTGTGACGCACCGCATTCTATTGTGTGTAATGTAATTTGTGATTTGTGTGTGTTTTTGAATATTTAGCAAGAAAATAACAAACAATTTTTTTTTCTTCTTTCTTTTCTTTTCTTCCTCGCAAATTATGGCAATTTTTCATGTATTTTTATTAACGTAATGTATGCACACTAGCTTTATATTGGCAATGTTTGTCGTATACTACGCGATAATGTTTATATGCTCGATATAACAATAACCTTATTATGTGATTATGAGGGTCAAATATGGCTTGTAAATGGGATACAAGAAAGGGAATAAAGGTACAGTTCGGATGGGATAAGAGAATAAAAAGTGATTTGTGGATTTTAATTATAAATTTATTTTCAAGGATGGAAATTTTCTTCAGATTTTTGAATTCCTGTTTGCGGATTTCTTTAATATGAAGCTCAATAAAATGAGCTTGATTTATGTTTTATTGTGCGTTTTTGATGATCTAGTACTGCATTGCTTGAGATAATCTTGTTCAACATAGCTCAGTTTGGGATAAAACTTGATCTTGAGAAAATCTAGTACTACAGATCTCCTTTTAAGACAATCTTTTACTCAATAATTAATCTTGAGGCAATCTCCTACTACATAATTTTATTTTGAGATGATCTAGTACCACAAATATGAAAATCTGGTACTCAAAATGTGAAAATCTGGTACCACTAATGTGAAAATCCGGTACCACAAATATGAAAATCTGGTACCAAAAATGTGAAAATCTGGTAAAACAAAAAATAAAAATCTAGTACCTATTTTTTTCAAAAACATTTGATTCTGTCTCCAATTTTTTCTTAATTCTTTAAAGAGATGGATATAATTCAGATCAATACAGCACCCTATTCTTCCCTAATTCCTGATTCTGTCTCATTTTTTATATATATTTATTTCCAATTGATATGGAGGAGTAAGAAAGGAGAATCAACAAAAGCAAGGAAAACAGCAGCAATTACGTCGTTTACGAGCCCATAAATCACTTGATCCACTTTACTTTTTTTTATTTCTCTCTCATTTTTTTAAAGATTCTTATGAAGATTTTTTTTCAGATCACACTTCAGTGCATCCCGCATATTTTTTAAACAACAGCAGCAGCAGAAAAAAAAATATCTTTGATTCCCGACAGCAGTGGATTATTACAATAATATCGTTATATTATCTCTTGGTGCTACTTCCCTATTATTTTATGTTGTGCCTTTGATTGTGTCTGTGTGAGGATTATTGTCATTTTCTTTAGTTTGAGGTAAGGGGACGCACAAAAAGGAAGAATTGAGGACACAAATCACATTTTAAGTGATTCCTCATTATCATCACAATCGGCATTTAAAGAGCAATAAATGAAAATTGGATGAAGAGGACAACGAGGAAGTTGAAGATACCTTTGGTGATTTTTTTGATCAATTCAAAAGTGTAGGAATATTTAAAATGGATTAAGTATGAACAGGTAAGGGAACTCTTGGTCTTAGGCGCATTTTTAAAAAAAAGTTTGTCAAGCAGACAAAATGATACTAAACTGAGCCCAAAAATGAATCAGAAAGGCAAGTCGGATAAACTGATAGCCACTTTCCAATCAACGAACTCATATTTCCTCCAAAAATAGCTCTTAAAAAAATGAGCATCATGAAGTAAAAAAAATCCAAGATGAAGATAAAAAAAACAAATAAATAAGAAATTGAAATGTATTTAGTAGCAAGCATAGACACGAGTACATGGGGATGTAAAAGATTCAAGAAGAAAAATTTACATTTCTTTCGACTAAATTACAAGAATATTAAGAAACGGCAACGTAAGATCAAAAATGCTTCTCATTTCACTCAAAATTTATTTACAGAGTGTGGCAATAAAATAAAATTAACAAATGAAAGGAAAGAAGAAATGGATAAGAAGGAAGACTTTTCTGTAAATAACAAATAAGACACACGACTGTGTGTGGTGAATTGGAAGGGAGACGGAGCAAATGAAATTGCAATGAATAAAAAGAACGATGAAGATAAAGAATAATTTTAAAGATTTTTTACCGTTCTCGCAATTTTTTTATTTTTGCTGGAGGTTGGGGTGTCATATATGTTGAGTTCATGTCCTTTCCTAGTCTCCTATTCTTGTCTCCTATCCTAGTCTCCTTTCCTAGTCTCCTATCCTAGTCTCCTATTCTAGTCTCCTATCCTAGTCTCCTATCCTAGTCTCCTTTCCTGGTTCTAAGAAAAACCACCATTCATCCCCAACCACCCTAGTCAACATCACAGAAAAGAATTATAACAAAAAAAAAGACCATAAAAATTATATCAAATGCCACCTCTTCATTTTCATCTCATTTACACATAAACATGCATAATGGGTGAGAGGAACATTACAAGCAACAGAACAGAAGCAGCAAAAAAAAAATGTGAACACAAAAGAAATTAAAATTATTCTTTTTTCTGCTGAACGCGCGAAAATGCGGATTTTTTTCCCTTTTTTATTCCTGAAAATGTTTTTAAACTTTTTTTGACGCTCTTTTATGACTCTCGACGACTCTCTCATTGCAATTTATGGGCTTTTAAACGATGACGATGGCAAAAAAAATTAGGAGACTTGAAAAGGAGCTGGTTTGTCGATGTATGTTGTGTGTGTTTAGTTACAGTAAATGAAAATTAAATGTTTTTTTTTTCTCATTTGTACACACAAAAAAATGCTCAAAAAAGGAGTTGGGGCGGAGTGGCAGAAGTGAGTGCGTTAAGAGGGAATAATGAGATGAAAACAAATTAAAAAAATGTTGAGAACAAAAAAAAATTAAAATAAAAATTGTTGGATGGGGTTGAGATCAAGATATGAAGACTTGAAATTGGATTAAAAAAAAATGGAATTTTTCATCAACATTTGAGATGGGTATTTGGAAGAGAAAGATGAGAGAAAACTAATGAGGGAAAAAAGACAACGATTAAGTTATGTGTGACAAGAGCGCATTTATGAGTTTTCTTACTTGTTAAAAAAGGGGTATGCAACTATGTCAAAACTGTAATTTTTTCCTGACAAAATCTTCACAATTGCCAACAAATACCTTCAGGCAATGTATGCACCCTCAGGCTCCACCAACTTCTTTTTTTTATCACCATCACCACCGACAAAACAAAGCAAAAGACTTAAAAGTGAATAAATTATGACAAAAAATAAAAGAATTTAAGGAACAATAAAAATTAAGAAGGATGAAAAAAAGAATCGAAAAGATAAGAAGTAACAAGAAGTTACAACCGTAACACATACACAAAGCAGAAAAGTAATGAAAAAAAGCAGAACAGAATGTTGAAAGGGGTTAAAAAAATTATTAAAAAAAGGCAACAAGGATTAAAGGCATTAAGGAAGTTAGCAATAGAATGAGAGCGAGGAGGAATGTGATGATAAATATCATAAGAAGATAAAAACGAGAGTGATTAACGCGAAGACAATGAGATTTTCAAGAGTTTAAGTTGAAGTAGGGATAAAAGGACTAAGACGTGTGCAGGTGACGGACTTTAAATTATTTTGTAATTAGATTAAAATGTTTAAGTGGATTAATGTTTGTTTTTTGAAGGAGTTGGAATGTTAATGTGGAGAAGCAAGAAAAGCAGTTTTTACTTCACTCATCAAATTTTTTTCCGTATTATAGTAGAACATCAAATTTCATGAACTATGGTACTTAGTTTTGCAGTAATTTAAAGAAATCCTCATGTTCTGTGTGAAACCTTTGACATTTTTACAAAATATCATGATAACTTCACTATAAACGCTCTAAATATCCAAAATTAAATTCCATTAGAGCATCTTGACCTCTTTCTCTAATTCCACAACACCCTTCACATTTTGTGTCAAGTTTATTTGAATTTTTCAGTCGATTTTTTAACTTCTTAATTTCTCAACCCTTATTTATCAACAATAAATGTGACGGAGGGCATCACAATCTTCTTTACTTCCTGTTTCTTCTTCTTTCTAATCGTTCCAGATTTTTCGTATCAAATCAGTTGGAGAAAAATTAGAGTCATTAGCTCCCGTTTTTGTGCAAAGATTCTTTGATAAGTTTCTATAAATATTATTATCCCTTCTGGGTGTGTTTTGTGCTGCTGTTGTTGAATTTTTGTTTTATTCTAAGGAAGGAAGTTAACGTGAGATTTTCATGTTTTGAAGGTTTGAAGATGGAATTTTTTAAGGAATCGGCAGTTTTGAACTTAATCGAGCTATTTTCCTTTTTAATATGCTAAATTGGTTAAGTTTACATTGTTTTCGATCCTGGATCCTAGGTTTTCGGACAAAATTGAACAAAATTCTCTAAATTCTGTCACCAATCTCCCCTATCCAATTCAAAAATCCACAACATATCTCCTACAAAATATCTACAAAACTAATCCAAAACGTGAGAAACAAAAAATTCTTCTTATTCACATTTCCAATCCAATAATCTCTCAATTCATCTCTTCCTTAAAACTTTTTTTCTTTCATTTCCTATTTTTTATCACTTTTTTCCATTGAATGAATAAAAAATATCTCCCAATTCCACCTCTCCCCTCGAACTTCTACCCATCAAAGAAAGAAAAACCAAATAACAATAAAAAGGAACGAGGAAGAATTTACGATGCTGATCGAAAAGTAGCATTTAAGTAACGCAAGATGAATGCTCTTGTTGTTGTCTATTCTTATGTCAAATTTAATGCCATTTTCAGTGCGATTTATTTTCTTGTTCTTTGTTTGTTTCGATACTTATGGCCTTCAATTCCTTTTTATCATCTCTTTTGTTTGGTTCTGTTGATGGTGCGGTCGATGATGTTCTATATTTGTTGTATGGTTTAGGGATTTTGTTGGAAAGTGAGCAGTATTGGGTCAATATTGAACTGGTTTGGTATTTTTAAGACTCTTTTGGTTTGTTCCTTAGCTTGCAGCTTATAGCTGACACTTATGGAAGCCACTTACAAGTTACAAGCCAAGCAACTATGTATCAGTAGAGACTTAACTTCACTTTTTACCCAAATCATTCAAAAGCTATCAAAACCCCCTCCAAAAAAGTCCCAGGTTCCTTAAAAAATATTGCAATTGACATTTTCCTTTCCTCATCATTATTCAAATTTTTAAAAATATTCATGTCCATAAATTTATCAAATAATGAATAAGAAATCGTTTCCATTCAGCTGAGTCCATTCAAGACATCCTCGCACAAAAAAAAGAAGTCTTCCTTTCAATGCCATTGTTAATTTGTCAAGCACCATAAAAATGAAAATTAAACACAAAAAGTGCAGAGGAAGTAATGAGAAGCGACTTTCATTGTCCAATTGTGGATTTTTTAATTCATTTCGTTGTCTTTAAGATTTTTTTTCTCTTCTAGAATTTTGTTGTAAGGAACTGGGAGTTATTTTAAGGAACGGGTGAGTATTAAATGATGGATTCAGAGTTGTTGGTTTTGGACTCATTTATTTGAGCATATCACATGAAGCAGTCTTTTAAAGGAAGATTGTGATCGTTATTTGAGATTTCTTAGCCTCATATCCATAAACTGGTAAATAATAAAATGTTTAAAGCACCGAGTCCGATCCCATGCCGGTTAAGGTACCATTTTCACCTTTTTTACATTGTGCGGAACCAAATGCCAATACAAAAAGTACTCAACTCTACACAAATTAACTATTGAAATATCTAGAAGGAAGAAGCAAACTTCTAGATGACAAAACCACAGAAAAAAGTATAACTCCGAATAACGGATCCCGATAACACGTCCTACGATTTTCGGTCGCATGCTCCTTCCACTGAGCTGATCGGGGGTTAGACGACTATATGGCAAAATACCATACATAAGTTTCACTGTTTTTACTTTCCTTGCACCACATGATTTATAGTTGACTGGCTATTAAATGGAATCGCATATTCCAACATTAACACCAACTCTGCCATCTCAAGCATACAAAAAATAAAGAATATAAAAAAATAAACGTCAAAGTAAAGAAAATGCGAAGGAAGATGAGCAAACAGAAAGGACAATGAAAAGTTTTTTGCAACTTCAACTCAAGGAAAAAAAAAGGTTCAGCGAAGCCCAAATGCAAACAAATTTCTTCCGACAGTTGTCTGTCCTTTATTTCAACGCTATTGTGTGTCTTATTCGCTACTTTTTTATGGAGTTTTTTTTTGTGTTGAGAAATTAAGAAAATAAAAAAAAAATGAGGAAGGAGAGGAGGTTGGGGAGTGGAGAAAGGATGCTCGCCACGTTTTTATATTCTTGGCTCTTCATTAAATGCGACATTTCAATCTGAAATTAATTTGTATTTTTAAGACTTTCTTGTCTTATTTTTTTTATTTTGTGATGGTGATTATTGTGTGGTTCAGGAAATTAATATAGAATGTTTAGGAAACAAGAATTATTTTGAATATTGGAAAACAGTGGGGATTTTACTGAGCAACTTCCAATGGGTGCCTACAACAATGTAGATTGTTATTTTTTCTAAAATTCAAACCTGTTTCGAAAAAATTCGAAAAATAATTTTTTATAAAAAATTTTGAAATTTTAAAAACCGTTAAATTTATTTATGAACAAAAATCAATTCTTCGACGCAAATTTGTTTTTTGAATGTAACAATCGACAATGAAGCTCAAGTTTTGATCGAAAAGTTACAAAAAATAATGTTAAATTTTCAATAGTCTTTGAACAATGCTCAAATGGAATTTCAACCTGACTAAGAACAATATCTGAAAATTTTGTCTTGAATGTGTTATAATCACTTACAGCAGAAATATCACTTCCGTCGACACTTATGTTGTTTGATTTTAAAAATAACAACCATTTATCTTTGTTTAATGAGTGCTTAGGTACTTTAAAAAGATTTGTAATTGTTTTATTTTTGTTGCAGCTTGCAATTTTGCAGGTTTTACCCATAATTAATGAAAATTAATCAAAATTTTACTGATGTAAACAAATATAATTTTTTGATGAAATATTTTTAACGGAATTTCATTTTTTGAAAAAAATTCAAATTCGAATTTTCGATTTCGAAGAATAAGGACCATTTTCGAAGAATAAGAACCATCGGCACCCATTGGAGCAACTTATGTTTGAGTTTGTATTATTTTTTAAAATACTGATTGCTTGGTAAACTAGAAATACATGCAACGGAGCAAATCGAACAAGATTTGGTAATAAAGAACAAGAGCTCGAAGTCGATCCGTATTGACTCGGTTTTGATTCGAGTCGACTCGAACCCTATCGACTTCGAGCTCTGTAAAGAACAACCTTGTTGTCATTATAAAAAATCAGAAACATACATTGACGTTTGATTTCAACAAAAATGATGGACGCTTTAAAGTTTTACTCAGTTTCCATCCAATAATATGATGGTGTGCATACAAAACTAGTTTAAATACATGAAAATTCCATTTTTTGTTAAATTGTGCAATTTAATCGCATATTCGTCATTTAAGTTTTTATTAAAAAATAAGTTTAGGATCAGAATGATCAATATCAATCATACTCCCAGCAAGGGTTTATAGTCAAGTGTCTTGAACTAAGTTTATGTGACAACAAAAGCTTTAATGAATCTAGATTACTGTTAAATCACATATCAATCCAGATAGCGTACTTGAGCCTGCCACGCATTAATAATCAATAACTCTAAGTTATAAAAATCAAAAGTTGCAATTTTAAGCTCAAATCTAATTCTCAATTTTGAATTTTTGAATCTATTTACCGGCCGAACCTCCCTCCCAAAATACCCAAACCCCGAACATTCCATTTTTCAAAAAACAATTAATCCCAAAACTACTCATTTAACTTCCTTCTCCGCGAAAAAAAAGGAAGTTTGTCTTTCCCACACCCTTGCGACCTTTCTTCATAAATTTACCTTCCACGTCGCTGCATTTCGTCGAAAATAGCAAAATGTGTTTTGAAACCAATTATAAATTTCATTTAATGTTAATTGCTTATCGGGCGATTCAATAATTGACTATTAAGATTTACGATTTTGTTATTTATTTTTTTGGCGTAATTGTTTGTAATTTACACACACAAAAATGTTTTTTGTTTAAGAAAATTTATCGATTTGTTGATAATTTTCGAATATTTTGGTGTATTTGGTGTTGATTTTTGTTTTATTTCGGTGCGGATATTTTTATGAGCAGTTGGTTGTTGAAAATATTTGTGAAAAGAAAATAAAAAGATTTATTAGAAAATTTTGTTTATGCTTTGATTGATTTATGAGGTGAGGAAATTATTTAATTTGGTGTAAATTTTATTTTGAATTATTGGTAATTAGTTGAGGTTATACATTGGTCAGTTAAAGCTTGTACTTGGATGAAGGATGTGATATTTTGAAATGTTTAAACTTGCATGGCAACTGTGTAGCAAGAAAATCCAAGCTTGATCTAAATCAGTGTTGTCCGAACTTTTTTGAGCCCCTGCACACTTTAGCCTTTTTGAGCCCCGGCACACTTTAGGGGTAAACCATTACTAAAGTCGCACAGTGCTTCTTGGCTCGTGTACTTTACAAAAAATTTCTTTGGCACACCAGTGTGCCGCGGCACACAGTTTGGACAACACTGCTCTAAATTGATCGAACTTAATTAAAACTTTCCGAAAAGTGACCAAACTTGATCAAAATTGAATGAAATTTGAAATCCAAATTAAATTTTCAACCAAATACTTTTCCTAACCTCAAAAAAATATTCAAATTTCTTCAAAAAAAAATTAAAAATGCAAATTCAACGAAAAAGTTAATTTCCTTCATTCGCATAAATTTCTATTTTTGTTGAGAATTTTTCCTCAATGACTTCTTTCCTGTTTACTCTTCACGCGCCAGGTGTGTGATTTGAATTCTTAATGAAACGCTAATTAAAGCGAATCGGAGATTTTTCCAAATTTTATTTATTTATTCATTGTGGCTATTTGTTTGGAATCGAAATCAAGTTTATGATTCCACAAATGTTGGGGGTTGAATTAATTTAAAATTCTACAGAGGTGATTTTTAAGGTTTTTGAATTGCTGCAAGTTAAAATTTCGAGGTAAGATGTGGGGTCGATCAATAATGACGTCTATGAAACGCAAATTGATAACATCACTAGCTACATAATCTAGAAAATAGTCAATAATCTCGAATTATTACAGACGTCATTAGTAGATGTGCCCCATTGAACCCCGAAAAATCATCGAAAAAATTCTCAAACTCCAAGAAGAAAATCAAACTTTTTTCGCAAAAATTTAAATTAAAAATACAAACTTGTCTAATCAGTGATGCATAAGTAAATGGTGGTCGAACATCTGCATTCTTATAGAACTCCCGATTCCGCTGGATTTCTGAAATAAAATAAGAAAATTCAATAAGAAGAAATTCGCAAAAAAATACTTTGAAATTGAAATCAAAAAAGTTTATTTTTCAATAAATTCAGAAATGCAAATAAATTTGAAATCATGAGAAAAATCTTGTAAAATTAGGAACTTTAAAGAAATATTCAAGAATTTCTACCTTGCTGAACATCTAATCCAGCTCTCTCGAGCATATACGGTAGTCCTTTTATATTTGGTTAGCACAAAAGGACATGTTATTTTAATGATTAATTGTTATTTTTATTAAGGGCTGGTTTCATTTGTGATCTTACTTAGATTGATTGGTATGTAGCCTGGATGGCTCCTTCATACCACTAAAATATATTAATAGGTTTTTGGGTTAACTCAATACATTCTACCCATTCTATGATGGTTGACAGTTATGACTTAGCATACAACTTGAGCTTTATATTGTATTATACTATCACTAGGTTGACCCTAGTGAATGAACCTTAGTAAAGCTTTTTAGCGACTTAAGACTACTAAGTATGAATTAGTCAAGTTCAAACCTCCTTCATCACACTTATATTAAGGTCAAGATTGTCTAATCAACCCACATCAAACGACATTAATCACCAGTAATCTAAGTAAGACTCACTATCAAGATCCAATTCCATTTAACACCACAAAAAAATCTACCCCCAATCAACTCACCCGACAACGACATTGCACTCTTATCTGTAATCCTTCTCCTTATTGGCATCACATTGTGCAATGGTGATCGTATACGTGAATTTTGATGAATTTGTTGACTTGTCGGTGACGGTTGCTGTGGTGATTGATTTTGCACTTGCGATGGAATAAATTGTTCGTCCATTATTGGCGTTTTGCTACTTCCTTCACTTTTTTGGTGACTTTGATTTCGTTGCTCTAAGGCAGCTGCTGCTGCCATTGACTCTTTTGTAAGGTGCAAATGATGCATCATTGCTTGTAATCGATCTTTCTCTTTTTGCAATTGAATTTCGAGTTGAAAGACGACTTGCATTTGGATACGTGCTTGGGCTGTTGTGCAATCGTCCATGCTGTGTTCGGTATTTAAGTGTCTAGAATTGAAAGGAGATTTTTTGATTAAGTTGCTTTTAATGAATCTGGTACCTGAACAGCACAAGTCGGTTAATCGAATAGAAATTTGGCCCCCAGCCGACTTAAGTCTGACATGGTGCTAGCTTCTATTTAAATTCAAACCGGATTTCTGATCGATTAACTAGCTTGTGAAATTTGGGGTAGTATCTAGTAGTGTCTAGTAGTGTCTAGTAGTGTCTGGTAGTGTCTAGTAGTGTCTAGTAGTGTCTAGTAGTGTCTAATATTTAGTAGTTTAGAAGTATACTATTCTAGTAGTTTAAAAAAATTAAAAAAAATTAGAAAACTTGAATCTTACTTAGTAAAAGTCTGTAGATCATCAAACACCAGATCACATCCGGGCCACTTGCATGTCCCACGTCCATACTTCTGATACTGTTGATGTCCAGCAACAAGATTACTTAAAGCATGATTCATATGTTCACTCTGTCCAAATCCAGTCGCTAGAAAATTCCTATTGAGATCATTGAGAAGAAAATTCGGTGGCACAGCAGCTGCATTCCCGCCTGTCAGTAAATTATTGAGACTCAAATTCATTTCGTCACGTCGAAAATTTATAATCGAGTTGAGAAATTGACTTATGCAATTTTCATTCTCACTTCCACTTTTAATTTCATTCAATTTACTTTTTGGACTGCCATCACGATTGCCATTAACCTCAATGACTTTCTCATCCTTCGCCTCAATCTCGTCCTTTTCCTTTCCAATTGATTCATTCTCAGTTGAGTTACTGCTGCCATTATTATTATTATTGTTGTTGTTGTTCGAGTCATTCGATTTGAAGCTCAATTTTGCATTCATTTCATTGTCAAACAGATGCCCCTTTTGTGTATCACTCGAGTGCGTTTTATGACCGACGTCGTCATTGTTGTTGTTGTTCGGCGAATGAAAGTCGTTGCAGTGACTCGAAAGATCTGGAAAATGTGGATAAAAAAAAATAAAGAGATGCGAAGGAATTAAATTCTTGCTCTTCTTTGTTCATTAATTGTAAGTTATTGAATGTGAAGAGGATGGAATTAAAAAGGTGCAAGTAAGAGAGTAACTTGGAAAGATGGCTCGGGGTGTCCTAGTTTAAAATGAAAACCTGTTTTTCTAATAATAAAGAATCAAGTAAGACTAAGATCAGGATCCACTGGATAACCTTAGAAACTATCAACTAAAGGCTACTAAAAGCATAAATAATGCCAAAAAATGATAAAAATATTGCCTTTTCTAACCCAAACTGCTTCACAACATAAAATTCAGCTAAAAAAATTAACGCAGAGAATGAGAAGGCCATAAGACGATTATTATGATTATGGTTCACAGGATTATGGAATTTCAAGGATTTTTTAATTGCTTTTTCATGCTTCGCCAAACGACATCCACCCCTCAATTTTCTTAATAACAATTTTTTGTGTGTTTCAAATATGAAAAAAAAAATTCTTTATCTTTTTGACTTTTAATTGACAGGGGATTGAATGTAATTAAAAATATGATGACAAAAAGTTTTTTTTTTGCTTTCTCAATTTTTTTAATAAAACGAAATTGAAGATGAAAATAATGATAATTATTGGAAAGGGGAGGGATGGGTGGAAGCAAAATGTTGATTGTGATTAAGTACAGAAGATAAGAATCGACGTTTATTAAAAATTAAACTCAAGAAAGGTTCATTAAGGATGAGATATTAGGAGATGAGGATTTTGGATTATTGTGTTTGGATACAATCAAGAAATTGTAATTAGCTTGAGGAGCTGAGCTGAATTTGCTAGATTTTTTGGGTCATATGACATATGAAATGAAAACTGGTCTAAAGGATCAAAAGCAAGTCAAAGTTCCATGATATACTAAAGGATGATGATAATAACTGCAAGGTCTGTCTATGGAAGGCGATGACGACTTGTAGAGCTAGTTAGAGCAACACTGTAAGAGGTGCATTCTGTAAAATTCTCATATAAATTTTAAAACTCACTCAAAAACCAATTAGCACTTTCATAACCTTATTTAAAGACAAATAAGGTAGCGAAAATAGGGGTGAAGCCAGGAAATGGGATTAGAACCAATCAAAAGAGATCCAGTGGTGGGTTTTTGGTATGTATATACTCATATGCATTTTGCATCCTCAATACCTACAACTATTGTGCACTTAAGAGTACATTCGAAGGTAACTGTAAAGCTAAGTGCAATTATACACCACAAAACCCATCTGAGGTTAAATTTATCAATTTCAAGATTTTAATCAGTCTTGTCTTCAGTTTTGGTGGGTATTTCGAAGACACAATGACTTGCACAATCTTAGAATTGCCTAGTTTCAACCATGTTCGCCTCTAAAATCAATTAAATTCGTTTCCAGATCATATCAAATCTCCTTTATTGCCCAAACTAATGCCTGATACCATACCCTTATACTCACTCTGCATCTGCTGATGATGTTGCGGAAACAACAACTGCATTCCACTCTGATGCAACAAATACTGTCTCTGTATTAATTGAAATTGCTGTGCCAGTTCCTGCTGTTGAATCGCCAATTTTTGTTGCAATTGAAATGTCGATGAATTTTTCTTTAAATTATTTTCACCATTCGGTGACTGTTGCTGCAACAAATGTGTTTGTTGTAGGATATTTGCATGCAATTGTTCCTGAATTTGATGCATAAGCATTTCCATTTGTTTACGTTTTTGTTCGAAATGAAAGAGCGACTCTTTTGTTGATGACATTGCTGGTTGATTGACAATTAACTGCTGCAATTTATGTGGTGAAAAGACATGTTGCTGTAAAAGTTGTTGCATTTGTAAATTTCTCAATTTAGCGTGAAAAATTTCACTCTTCTCGTCAATCTTTTTACTATCGTTGTTGTTCTGATCGGCTGGGAAAATAAAATCATTAAAATGAGCCGCAATGTCGTTAAGATTATTGTTTGAATCGTTTGGTTTTGTTCCTGCTAATGATGAACTGCGTGATGACTTCTTAATGCTATCTGTTATGCTGAATGTTACATGTGGTTTGCAATCATCTGCGTCCATTTGATCATCGCTATCTGCTTCGTCTAAGGATGCTAGTGCGTTGTCATTTAAATCGTGATGATTTGTGAACTGAAATTGGATTAAAAAATTGACAGATTTAATTCAGATATTTTTTTAAGTATTTTGAAGTTAATAGAATAGTTTAGTGGCTGTTTAGACTTGACTAGAGTAAGATTACTTTGTTTAAAGTCACATATGCCTTATGATTTGGTCAATAATCGAAAATAGTTTAATTTTTCAAAATTAGGGTCGTTCTAGGGTTAGGAGTGAGCTCGCTAATATCCATATAGTTTGGCCAAGAGAGTAGTGTATATGAATAGCCAGGAACCAGTCATAAAAGTCAATAGGGCATTCAAGAGTTTTTTTTTTGCTTAACCTAAAGAGTCTGTACAGCCAGCTATTTAAAACCTTATCCCCCACTTCTCCTATAAACAATATATTTAGTGTTTATGGCACACAAAGAAAAAGAATCTAGAATCGATAATGTAATGTATAAGTATTGAATATCAATTGAAAGATTTGCGAGACTCATAAAAAATAAAAAAAAAAATGAAAAAACTTTGCTTGCCGTCTTGTAAATATGAGCTTTTTATTCAAATTTAATGACAGCGTCGTAAAAAATGAGCGAAATAAAGAAAAAAAATTTGGCGTGTACTTTTGGCATTCAATATTGACATAACATAACAACATAAGAAGGGAGCAAAAGGGACATAAAAGAAGTGAGGGCAACAGCATGTTTTACTGCAAAATATGCAAATATCGAATACAACAAATGCTCGGGGTGGAGATGAAATGGAAAATGATGTGAAGATGTGCCATTATTATTATCATCGTGCGGAGTTAAGGATGTATCATAACGAGGTAATAATTCATGTGGAATAAATGCATTTAAAATGAAAATTTTTCTTTTCGCTCCTCGACTTTTTTTTTTCTTTGCGAGAATATTAAGGAATGAGTGTAGGAATGATGATGGTGTCATTTGTTTGCGTTGCTTTTATTGTGTGTCTTCTTGGCATCATTGTTATTATTATTATGTGAATGAATATGAATTGCTAGGTGTTATGTGAGATTTCTGGAAGATTTTTTTCAATTTTAAAGTTATTAAATTTTGTCTCTAAGGAATTTTAATGTAGTTTAATACCCTCTTGGGCTTCAGACGAAACCAAATCTACTGTTTTATGGAGTTGAGTACCCTTTAAACTTCAAAACGAAACAAAATTTACTGTTTGATGTTGTTGAGTACCCCTTGGACTTCCAACCGAAACAAAATCTATGCTTATTATAGTTGAGTACCCCTTTGGACTACCGAATAAACTGAAATATGCCCTTCGATGTAATTGAACTAACGCTAAATCCAACATAAAGTCATTCCCCATCCACCTATTAAATAAATTGCATTTCCGATAAATCACGGTCACTATTAATTCCAATGTCATTTAAAGACAAGAAAAAGAATGAAATCAAAGATTTTTTCCTTGCAAGAAAAAAAAAATTGCTGACACCCACAAAAAATAGAAACAGCAAAAAGTCCTTGCAGCAGTAAAGAACAACGACTGTACAATATGGCTTCATATCTATTGTTGCCCATGGGACTAAACAGGAATATTTACAACACAAAACAACAAGATATAAACACTTCCTTATGGACGATTTTTCTTCCTTCCTTATTGCCTGAAATCTTTCTTTTTTTGATGACGTAAGGCAAATTTTTTTCTTTACTTCATTTTTATTTCATTTTTTATGTGACATAAAGTGAAAAAGGAATTCTTTTTTGCTTATTTTTATTATCACTTATAAGAGGAAGTTTTTTGTTTTGGATTTTTGATTTTTATTCTGTGCTGCGATTTTCTTTTGATGCGGTTTGTGATGGTTTGAGGTTAGAACTCTTGACGGTGAGTATGTTAATGATAAAATCTATTTAAATAAGATATTTATGTAGTTTAATATCCCTTTGTGAAGGATCTTTCATAGTTTAGTACCCTTTACTCACAGTTGTGATGTAGTTTAGCACCCCTCACTCACATTTTTCAATTTTAATCCCTTCTTGAGTCCTAACATTTCATTACCAAAATCATCCAGCACTTAACAATATCTCTCCAACCTCAACAAAATTTCACAAGAAAATTGTTAAAAGGACAGCAAAAAAAGGTTAAAAATTTAAGTGGATCTCTTGAGATTGGATCAATGACTTAATTCCTGGGGTTTTCAGTACTTACTATTTCACACCCTCCTGCCACATTTTCATCCGAATCGACTCTTTACAGCATAAAATTTTCTCCCTTTTTCCTCCTTTAATGGACGAATACAATAAAAAATAGCAAAGTGAGAGAAAAAAAAACTTAAAAAGTGTCTGGAAAGGATTTTTCGATTGTCCATTAGCAATTTTTATGGCCATAAATAATCCCTTTGAAAATCACTTGCTCATTCTACATTTACAGTTTGAGTTTTGGTGCAAAAAAAACTTTTTATGCTTACTCATGTTTTGTGTGAGGAATTTTTCAGGTTTTTTGCTTCATTTTTGATGGATATTTGTGCTGATCTTTTAGTTTTGTGTGTTAAATTACTTCTGAAGTGATAATTTGGTTATAGAACTGAGTAAGAGGTATGTAGGTATGTTAATGAGGGATTCATCGTGCTATTACGTAAATGGTCAGTTGATATTGAAATTGCAAAATTGTTAAATGTTTGGATTTACTGAAATAGAATACATTCAGTCATTTCGGGTGGAGCTTAAAAAAAGTTCAGTAATCTGGGGTCAAGCTGAGTAAAAATTGAGTCATCTCAGGTCAAGCTTAGAAACAAGTCAGTCACTTCTGGTTGAGCTTAGAAAATAAGTTCAGTCATCTCGGGTCAAGCTGAGTAAAAATTCAGTCATCTCAGGTCTAGCTTAGAAAAAATTCAGTCATCTCGGGTCGAGCTGAGTTATCATCTTGGGTTGATAAAAATTCATTCATTTAAGTCCTCAATCTAATTTTCCTTCTCATTTCCCCTCCATCCCTAAAAAGTCTCGCATTGAAAAACAACAACGCCAATTTGCTGTATCGACAACCCGCACGGTCGTATAAATTATTTTTCCGCCCTTTTGTTTCTCTCTCCACCCACTCGTCTCACTTACCCCTCAATAAATGGCATTCTGGCAATGTTGTTGAGTTTATTGGATTTTTATTGATGCTAGTAAAATAAAATTCTTTTAAAAAATTCCAGAATGTGGGAGAAAATTTTTTTACCGATGCCTCTTTTTTTGCACACAGCAAAGAATGTTAAAAATAATTCAATAATGGTCTATCGATTTCATAGACATAAATGGAATTTTTTGCAGTCAATTTGTGATGATAATTGACCTAAAAGGTTGTGTCCATTTATTTATACTTTACCCAGCACAACATAAATACCGGATTAAGGTGTTTTCATACAATTTTGATGATTTTATGAGGGATGTGAGGAAGGAAAATTGCTAGGTTTACGGTTGGGTTGTAATTGAATGAGTTGAGATTGGAGATTATATTGGAAGTTAGAGCTGGAGGGCTGTGCTGTGTATGGACAAATAAGGTGGAATAAATTGAATGAAAAGATTTTTTGTTTAAGTGAATCATAGACTTATAACTTTGGATTAAGCAAGCTAAAGTTGCAATTTCGCAACAAAAAGAAAGGCCTCAAAAATTCCCAAAAACTTTCCCCTTTTTCTATCAAACAATCCTAAGCAGAATCCAAATCCATCCACAAATCCTTATTCGCATCATTTATTAAAAGAAACAACAACCATAATCGTAAAAATAAGATATTTTCACATAAACAATTTATTTATTTTAATACGAAAATTCGACTTTAGTAAAGTCTTGAGGCATTGAGGCATTTTGTTGAAGGAAAAAAAAAAAATGCTGAAGGGGTTGGTAAAACAGCTTGAAATATTTTTCAGAATATTTCAGTTCTATTTTGGCAATTTGGTTAAAAGCTTTACATTACACTATGGGGCAAAATGAAAAAAAAAGGGACTTTCACTTTGAAAAATGGACTTTTCCGATTTACACTTTTTGGGTGATTTTTTCTTGTAGAGGACATAAAAGTAGATAGAAATGCCAAATTTCAGGTCATTTGGTGCTGATTTCGCGATTCTAGAGCTGTTTGAAGTTGAAAACTAGTGAAAATTCTGGTTTTTTCATACCATGTTTGAACCGGGAAATATCTTAACTGGTTTAAGATATTGCAAAACGGTTTTCAGTTCCTATTAGTAGTATATAAGAGCTTTATTTTGACATATAACAAAGTTTAGGTTCTGAATGTTTTCGTGCCATTATGGTAGAACATATGTGAAAATTTCAGGAAAATTATCTTCAAACAAGCCGCAACTATCATAAATGAAGAGTTTCCAGGCAAGTAAAAACGCAGTTTTGTAGCCCCATATATCTAGTTTTCAAAACTGTATAAACTTTGAAAAAGTAAGCTAACGTAATTGAGTTATGTTGATTTTAGTAGGTCGTTGAGTATTTGGCCAAAAACTAATAATTCTTTTAAAAATACGAAAACATAGTTTTAAAAATAGTTTTTTGGTGTTTTCTTATGAAAAATAACAATTTAAATGATTTTGTGAAGAAAATTTTTCAAAAACTTCAAAATCTTTCGAGATATAGGGGGTATGTGCTCTCCATCGATTTGGCCATTTGTCACCCTACTTAAACCACTATAACTTTTTTTTGAAAAAATATTTTTTAATTCTGTTTTCGGATTATTGTAGCCTAATGTAATACCTATCCAACGATATATAATACTTGCTAGTTAACTTAGTCCTTGATTGTGACATACGCAGTTTTTGAAAAATTCCCAAAAATTGCATTTTCAAAAATACCACTTTTAAGCAATCTCGAGTATTTTTTTAGAACTTTTTTATGTTTATTTATGACATTTATGAGATTATAAAGCCAAAAAATTAAATTTAGAAACTTTTTACTTCCCTAGTTAACAACTTTGTAAAGTACCCTTGGTAGTCACTATCAGGTGTGAAAATCTCAGTTTTGAAACTATTTTATATATATACTCGTGAAATTCTCTCTACACATCATATCAGTTTTGAACTTCATTGAACAAGTCACTTTCAAAAATGAACCAAAATTCAACACTTACGAAGAAAACACTCTGTGAAATTCTTCGCGACAAAACGTTAAATCTTGCAACACAGCACACGTACTGTTTGGCAGTAATAGAAGAAATTCATGGGAGAGAATTAGCGGAATCACAGAAACCAAGTTTAATTAATAAATTAAACAAGCTGAAGTCAAAGTCAAAAATGTTTTGTAATCAGTCAAATTGGAATAATGCATTAAGAGATCATGCAGATTTCTATGAAGAGGAATTTGAAGTTGACTCACGATACTTCAGCGAATCTAGTGGAGGGATTCTTTTTGAGGAAGAATCTATATATGAAGCAGAAAATGTTACTGACACAGATGAAGATATGGATGAGATTGAATACATCGTCCATGACATAGAGCCTTCATCCAGCAAGGGCATCAAGAGGAAATCATTTGAACAACTAACAAGCGATAAGCATCGACGTAGAAGAGTGGACGAAATCAAAATATTACCTTCAGAATCAACTCCAAAAGTTATTCATGCAGAAATGATCGTCACATGGGGGATGGACGGAACAACAGGACAGTCACAGTATAACCAAGGAAAAACAAAATCAAGAAATCAAGAACGAGATAGAACACAACCGAATCAAACGACTAATAATGAAATTATAGAAGACAAATCACTATTGACAGTTAGTATGAGTGTTCAGCAACTACGACATGAAGACGAAAACGGAAATTATATCTGCTTATGGGACAACGAAAACAGTCAATCTGTATACTCAGTACGACCAATACAACTTGAACATGCCAAAGAAACCAGAGTAAATGTTAGAAGGATATATGAAGATATAAAAAATCAAATATCAAAACTTGAACCACAGAGATTCATATGTGAAGACATGCTTTTGGAAATTACGTACAAATTCTACCCCACAATGTTAGATGGAAAAGTTTACACAGACCTTACAGAAACATCAGGATATTGCAGATGTCAGCTTTGTAGATCTGGACCAAACGAGATGAGTGACATAAATAATCTTGATAATGGAAGATTCGAAAAAACACACAGAAAATTTGTTAAAGAACACTTGTATTTCAACACTCAGCCACTTCATACATCAATGAACGTACTCACGACTCTATATGATTTGTCATATAAACAATATGTTCAAAAACACTGGCTGGAGATAACTGAAGAGGAACAGATTGTTTTAGATGTTGAAAAGGCTAGAATAAAGCAAGCAATGTGGGATGCATTTAATGTTCGTGTACTCGAACCAAGACAAGGGGGAGCTGGATCATCAGATACAGGAAACGTTGCAAGAAAAGTTCTTGAAAATCCAGAGCTTCTAGCTAAAACTCTATATCTTAATGAAGAAATAATTAAACGTATATGCTATGTGCTAAACCAAATTCGAAGTTTAGAACCAGTTGATGATCTAGATGAATTTGATAGGTACTGTAAAGAAACATACAGAATGTTTTTGACAACATATAGTTGGTTCAAAATACCAGTAACACTTCACAGAGCACTTGCTCATGCAAAACACTACATGGAAGCCTTACCATTACCTCTAGGAAGAATGAGTGAAGAAGCCGGGGAGTCACAAAACAAATATCTCAGACAAGATAGAGAACTACGTGCCAGAAAAACTTCAAGAATACACAGTTTTACGGATGTTATACATAGAAGACTCTACAGTTCTGATCCAGTAATAATAAAAAAATATATGGATGTAATAAATAAAAGGTTAATGAGAAAAAATGTCCAAGAAGAAGGTGAAACACCTGAGCAACAAACAGAAAATGAGGAAAAAGATGAGGAAGAAATTGAATTGATTGAGCCAGAAGGAGAAGGTTATGACTTTTCCCAAGCAGAAAACTATGATTATTCCGAAGGACAAGACCATGAATATTCTGAAGAAGCAAACAACGAATGAATAAATAAATTTCATTAAATATGATAAAAAAATGTAAATTAAATTTCTTGACAAATAAACAAAATTTCATTAAACTAAAAATTAAACTTTATTAATTTTACCTATTATAGTTGCGTATCAGAGTATTTTTTTTATTACTCTAATGATAATAGCTTTTTTCAGACTTAACATTTCTTAAAAAAGTCCAAAAAATACTCGAGATTGCTTAAAAGTGGTATTTTTGAAAATGCAATTTTTGGGAATTTTTCAAAAACTGCGTATGTCACAATCAACAGCCCTATAAATAACCAGGACTAAGTTAACTAGCAAGTATTATATATCGTTGGATAGGTATTACATTAGGCTACAATAATCCGAAAACAGAATTAAAAAATATTTTTTCAAAAAAAAGTTATAGTGGTTTAAGTAGGGTGACAAATGGCCAAATCGATGGAGAGCACATACCCCCTATATCTCGAAAGATTTTGAAGTTTTTGAAAAATTTTCTTCACAAAATCATTTAAATTGTTATTTTTCATAAGAAAACACCAAAAAACTATTTTTAAAACTATGTTTTCGTATTTTTAAAAGAATTATTAGTTTTTGGCCAAATACTCAACGACCTACTAAAATCAACATAACTCAATTACGTTAGCTTACTTTTTCAAAGTTTATACAGTTTTGAAAACTAGATATATGGGGCTACAAAACTGCGTTTTTACTTGCCTGGAAACTCTTCATTTATGATAGTTGCGGCTTGTTTGAAGATAATTTTCCTGAAATTTTCACATATGTTCTACCATAATGGCACGAAAACATTCAGAACCTAAACTTTGTTATATGTCAAAATAAAGCTCTTATATACTACTAATAGGAACTGAAAACCGTTTTGCAATATCTTAAACCAGTTAAGATATTTCCCGGTTCAAACATGGTATGAAAAAACCAGAATTTTCACTAGTTTTCAACTTCAAACAGCTCTAGAATCGCGAAATCAGCACCAAATGACCTGAAATTTGGCATTTCTATCTACTTTTATGTCCTCTACAAGAAAAAATCACCCAAAAAGTGTAAATCGGAAAAGTCCATTTTTCAAAGTGAAAGTCCCTTTTTTTTTCATTTTGCCCCATAGTGCATTAGAAGCGTTGAATTGTTAAGGATTTTAACTCTTAGTGCAGGTTTGGTATTGAAAACATAGCTTTCATATCACAAAAAGCACATGTCGGTTAGTTGAATAGAAATCCGGCACCAAACTAGTGTAACCCTGGCATGGTGCTGGATTCGATTTGACACCAGCACCATGCCAGAGACACTCAGGTTTCATGCCAGATTTCTATTTGAGTAACCAAATTGTGCTATGTGTATTAAGTGACATAAAGATGCAGTCTTGAGTCATGCAGAGATTGTGTTGGACAATATAAAGCCATTTATACACCGTAACCAATTGTCCAGGATAAGCTAATTCGATGCACTCTACCTAAGAATTAAAAATTGATCAACTACGCATTAATTTCTTACTTTATTTCTTACTTTATTTTATTAAAATTAAAATATAAATAAATAATCATAACCCTAGAAACCGACCTAGTTAAGATCAGTGTTTTTGTGTAGCTATTTTCTAGGCTATCACACCAACTGGTAAACAGGCCAGTTATGCATTTCAACAAACTAGAACTTTTGTCAAAATTTAAGCACATATCCTCAGTTCCGAACCCCCTTTTCATTCCCAAAATCTCAAAAAAAAAACTCTTCCTTAACGATTTTTATCGTTCAACATAAAACAAAAATTTCTCTTTCACTCGCGAGTTTATCTAAAATATTTATCGACAAGGGAAAATCTCGACGGCAAAAATTTTATTTTGTGGAAAAAAAAAGAAAATCCCGCGTTTGATAAAACAGAAAAAGGAAGAGCGAGTATCGATTATCGATGAATATCATTTCTGTAAATATCATAAAGTATAAATGAAGATTATGAGAATGAAAAGATAAGGAAGATAAGGAAATTGGGGGAAAATTGAGATGCAGGAAGTAAAATTCAAGAACGAATCAAATAAGATTGAAAAGTTTAAAGAAGAAAAAAAAACTTTTTTATGAAAATTTTTATTGAAAAATATTTTTAAGGATGAGTAAAAAAAATTTAATTTGAAGCAAAAGTTTCAGGATTATTGCTTATTTCTTCCTTACAACACCTTCTATAGATTTTTTTCATAAACAATTTAACCACTTAAATGTCCGTAGATAAATTTATTCGTTCAGAAAATTGGCTTAGACAACAATAAAAAGCAATACAGGGACGACAATCTTTCATAAAAATTTCCCTAATTGCATACATTTCCACACACGTTTCTGAGCCGTAATAGATCCTTAACCTGTATAATAATGAATGAAGAATTTATATATTTGATAAAGAGGGATGTATTCACGGTTAAGTGCTGTTGTGAGTAGAAGAGCGGTTTTAGATGGTTTGAGGGATGATTTTAAACTCACTTGCAAGGAAGGCTAGTCTATGAATTGCTATAAGATACTTATAAAATCACTAGGCCAATGTAGGTCCACCACAGCTCCACCCCAGCCAAATGACAGCGTTTTCAGACCTTTCTACATTATTTTCCATAATAAATGATTTTTAAATCTTAACTAGAAGTTGAATACTCAACGCCTGGTGGTTTGATACGTTAACGGATCAACCTATGTTACCTACAAAGAATTACCTACTGTTAAGTACACAAAAAAATGAAAATATACCCTAAGACAAGGTAAGGCAACCAAATAAGAGATCAGATGAGTTAATAATGAGTTGGATACACCAGCATTAGCTGAAACATATAAAATAAAAGCGAGCTAGCTTCCACGATTACGCTTTATAAAAGCCAGGAGTTAGGAACATGAAATAGGATCAGGAAGCATTCTAATGGTCGAAATACAACAAAACGTTGATTTTTTGGACATCATATTGAAAAAGGTACACTAATCAGTGATTAATTGACACTAGAAAGTATTTAATTTAATTTCAGTAATTCCAACATGCATCGCAAGCATTACCAACCATACTCCGTAACACATCACCATCCACATAATCACTAGTCCCAAAACACATAAACCATTTTATGCAAAATAAATAAAAAATAAAAGAGAAATTTAAATAATTTATGACACAAATGTGAATGCGATTGTGTGCGGATTCCTTTTGGCAGTCAAGACCTCTCCAACCCTCTACAACCCTCCACCCACATCTATAATATCAAGTCAAAATGATTATTGAACTTAAAATGAGAACTTTCAAGTATTCATTTCGCATATTTATGGCCCTCTCGCATGCTTTATTGTTAATATTCATTTCACTCTACCGCAATGTATCATTTTTCTCACAATTTATTTTATATGTTTTTTTTTGCAGCAATAAGCAACAAAAGAAGCTGAAAAGAGCCATAAAAAAGTGGAATTTTTAAATTTATTCTTTCATTTCTTTTTATTCTGTGAAACTCTGTGTGCTGGATGGGAGCTAATGATGAAATTATTATGCTGTGAGAGTCAAGAATGGTACGGAAAGATTTACAGGCATTTGATTTAGTGCGATGGGATGTGATGTACTCAAAATAAATAATTTTTTTCCTGTATCTTGTATTTTTTTGGAGGTCGTTTAAAATTTTGCAATTTAATTTTAAAATTTTTTGGTAAGGGTAATTTTTTGAAGTGTTTCTTTGAAGGGTGCTATTTGGCAGGTAAGATAGGATTTAATATTAAATTGGGTTTGAAGTTTTGTAACTGCATTTATAAGTTATTATGAAAATTAAGGGTTTACTAGCTTCTTTCAAACTGATAGACTGACATCCAAACAGCCAGCAAGATATATAGATTGAAAGCAACTAGGGTTTGTGGAAAACAGCTGTTTTTGAAAAACAGCCTGTTTTCGGTTTTTGATTTTTAAAAACGGCTGTTTTCCTGTATTTCTAGAATTCAAAATAAACTGAGTTATCCTAAGTGTTTCTCTAAGATAATGAAACTAATTGGTGGTTTTAAGCAGTTAAGCATACATTATAGAGCTGAGCATTATTATTTCTTAATTTTTTTTAATTAACTCTATAAAATATAATGAAATATAAAAATTCAAAAAAAAATATTTATACTTTTAAGAAACATTGTATTGTTGCATTGCAAAAGTTCCATAAACTCTAATATTTCATTTGAAATATTCAAAAAAATCTTTCAAATTATAAAAATATCTTGCAAAATTGTTGATTATTATTTTGAACTTTAGTAAATGCTACAAAAGGTTTAACAAATTTAAAATTTCGATTGCAAAATTAGTAATGATTAATCATAAATTTGATAATGATTTCAAACCTATTAAACATCCAAAAAAATTTAAAATAGTAAATACATTTCAATTTGGAATTCTAAAAAACTATATTAAGTTCTTCAAAAAATTAAGAAAATTTTTTTCTGTAAATTATATGTAAAAATGAAAAACAGAAAGCAGATCTGTTTTTAAAACCTGTTTTCTGTTAACAGATTTTCGTCGAAAAACAGCTGATTTTCTGTTAAAAGGTTCCCCAAACCCTAAAAGCGACCCAGTCAGCCATTTAATCAGCAATCAGAATAAATGACATCTTTCTTGACTGAACGACTGAAAGAGTATTACAAAGGCTGACAAAAATTTACAAAGGCTGACAGAGACTGACAAAAGCTGGCATAGTATGATACAGGCTAAAAGAGACCCTAAAATTGACACACATACTAGTTAAGCAAAAAATACTTCAAAAATTTTCAAAATTATTTTCAAAAATGCAACCTTTCATATTCCCATGTAAAAAAACCATCACACTGAACCCCATTCCACATTGTTTACCTTCCATTCATCTCCCCTAACTCAACACATATTTCCCAAACCTCTCATAATACACAATACATTATAATATATGACAATAAATCAACCTAATAAAATTGTAAAAGAGTCAAGTGCGTGATAATTAAATTTTTTAAATTCCTTCTCGTCGCTTTCTCGCTCCCTTCCTTTATGCTGCTTTTTTTTAAACATTTTGATGTAAACTCAGGAAAAACTTTTTTTTCTTTTCAAGTTCTTTTGAAGCCCCACAGGAGATCAAAAACGGAAGATTTAAAGAAAAATTTTCAACTTCCTTTAGCTGTGAAAAAATAATAATAGCGGCAATAAGAGCAGTCAAGGCAAGTAAGTAATAATAAAGATGTGAAAAGAGCAGGCATAGATTTATGGGAATTATTAAATGCCTTGTGATGGCGCAAAGAGATTAAATTAGGAGCTGATTATTTCGCCATTCATTTTCAGTGATGTGAGAGAAATGATAAGTGAAAAAAAATTCAGAATATTTCTTATTTTCTTATCAATAGCTTCATGTGACTCATTGGAAGTACAATAATTAAATGGTTCGGGTATTTTTTTTATTATGATTTTAAATATTGTTTAAATTTTTAAAATCCAAGATTCAGACTGAAAATTACTTTTGATGCAGAAAGACTTAAAATCTAGCATTTTAGTGTTTAAAAAAATTAAAATTAAGTTTTTTATTTGAAATGAAATTATTTTTGTAGGTTTTTATTAATATACAAAATTAAATTTGCAAATAATAATATTTTTCACTAAGAATTACAGGCTGGATCTTACTTCTTGCGAAATATTCTTCATCATCAAACAATATTGAACTTGATTATGACGCTAGTGTCAGTAAAAACCTCAATAATTTTGACCAAAAGGTAATTGACCTTGACAGACCCTTAAAACTTCACAAAATCTCCAAACGAAATGCTGAAGATGGCATTAAAAATTTACAGCAAAAACTTGCAAGTATTAATGCTGAAAGCAAAGTCCAGCATAATGAAATAAAAGTAATTGCAAATGCAGTCAAGACTATAGTCACTACCAATGCTCCAAAATTCAATCAAATTCAAGCTACTCAAAATGAAATCAAAGCTTCGAATGTTGCTGTCAATACAAAAATTACAGCACAAACAGCAATGCAAACTGCTCTGAAGACTTCAGTTACTCAATTAGAGGTTAAGATTAATGAAATTAAGGCTCTGCATGTTAATGCTAACAAGGATATTGCAACAAAATTCAATGAATTAAAAGTGCTACAAACTGGCATTAAAACATCAATGACTGTGGCTGAAGCTAAGCTTAAAGAACTTGGAGTTGCAAGCATAAATCTCCAAAATTCTCAAAAACTAGGAATTGATGGACTTAAAATGCTTCTGACTGAATTAAAGACACTTGTCAATGCTATAAAAGTCAATCTTGATAGTTTTAAGACAGGTCAGAATAGTTTGACTACTGCCGTTAATGCCATTAGCACTAAGACTACTGAAATTGTAAATACTCAAAATGCCATAAAATCTTTAGTGACTCAAATTGACACAAAATCAAATGAATTGAAAGTCCTGACAACTGCTATCAAAACTTCAACGACAAGCATAGATGCCCAACTCAAAAGCCATGGTTTGACCCTTAATGGACTTCAGGTCATCCAGAAAGATGTCAAAACAGCTTTGACAGACATGAAAACTTCTCAAGATCTGATTAAAGTATTTCAGACTAAGACAATCACTACATTTGGTGAATTAAGCACTAAAATTGACAATTTAAGCAAATCTCAAAATGAAATTAAAGTTTCAAATACACAATTTAGTGCTGCACAAAATAAAATGACAGCATCCCTCAAAAGTATCTCATTAGCTCAACAAACCTTGAAGACATCACATGACATCCAAAAAACATCTCAAGAAGCAATTAAAAATTCACAATTAGAAATTAAAAAGCTACTCGATGCTTCGGTAAGTGACCAGAAAATTTTACAAAATGAAATTAGAGCCTTAACGACTTTAGTGAAATCATCAAACACTGATCAGGCAGCTAAGCTAGCTCAACTACAAACTACTCAAAATTTACTGAAAACTTCGCAAGACGCAGGAAAAACTTCTGTCGATTCCATCAAAACTTCACAAGACAAGCTATTAAATTCAGTCAATGCTCTTACAAAAGAAGTTGGTGAACTCAAAAAAGACTCAAAATCATCACAAGACATTCACAAATATTCACAAGACCATGTTAAAGGAACATTCAGTGACATTGAAGCATCGATTAGTGACCTAAAGAAGTCCCAAAATGATCTCAGAGATTTCATGTTAAAAATTAAGACATCACAAAATGACATCAAAATTGCATTTAATGAGAAAAGTTTTAACAAAAATGACAATTTTGAAGCTAAATTTGCATCATTTTGTAACAAATTGGAAACGTTTGAAAGCTATTTTGTGGATTTAAAAGGAGAAAATAATGAAAAGTTTGATAAAATTGGAAATCAAATTGCAAGTTCGAGGCATAAAGTTTCAATTGAATTTAAGGAAGAAGTTAAAAGAATTGGAAAGATAATAGTAAAAAAATTTGAAGATGTTTTAGAAGCAAAGCTAGAAGGAATTTTGGAGGAAAAACTAAAGAAGATTTTAAAAGTTAAATAAATTATTGATTAAAAGTAGAAAAAAAACTTCGAATCATCCAGTTATATGAGTTGAAAATATAATTATTCATTTTGTAGCATTCATGAAAATTTGCCGTCGCTAAATTATTTGTTCTGAATTTTTTCATTGAAAATCTGAAATGATTAACAATTTAAATAAATTGCTGCAAGTGCCCAGCGTTTTGAGTTGGAGGCACATCAATTCAATGAGTTTAGATTCTATTGTACCAAATTAAAATGGACGTAATAAGACGTAATGCTGACAAAGTTTGAACTTGATCTGAGAACCTGTTCCCGCCAGCTTCACACACACATTTAAGAGAACTGGAACTGTTTCCAATTTAATCCTTTTGTTTTTTTTCTTTTGACATGTCGATTTCGGGAATGGTTGGTTATAAACCTCATCACTTCTAGCCTGAATGTGAGGCTGCGACCCTCCAGGTAAGGTTGTTTGGATAGGCTTTTAATCTATCTTTTAAAGTACTTATTCCGGCACAGGACTCGGTTACCAGCGGTGCATTAAGCGGTTTCAAGGGATACTACGAGAAGATATGCATTTGACATTTGGTCAGCTTCGGAGTCAGACTTCGGATTTCCCTATCCTTTACATCAAATTAGTAGTTTTAAATTCAATTCCTTAATTTTTTAAAAGTCTACAAATAAAAATGTTTGAAAAACGTAATAAATAGTAAACCAACTTTGTCCATAAGTTGTCAAAAATTGATAAATTGAGTATTTTCCCACGCAACAAGATCCTTTCTCTCCAAAAACCACAAAATTAAAGAGCATAGAATCCCCATCAACTGATTTAATTCCCTCACTATTCTCTCTCAACATCTCATCTTACATGAAAATCATCATAAATCAAACTGTGCTGCGTACGACAACTTTTCGACACTCAAACAGAACCCACACAATGAGAATCCGAATTACAACAATAATTCTACGCGAGAATTGTGATATCAACTAACGTCAAATACGCACATTCGAGTCGACAGAGACGGCAAAAAAAAATTCCCATTCATTCAGATTTTTCCCACACAGACTGCGTTGCGGCTAGTCAGACGCACGACTATGTGTACATATGCCTACTATTATATACTCTCACTGTTCATTCACTCTGCAAATTTTATGTGTCAGCCTTTCGAACCGCACGAATTTTTTTTTTTGTAGCTGTGCCTCCCTTTCCACTTCTCTGGCTCTCTCGCTGCTACCGAGTCGCACTTTAATCGCACTTTTATGTAAAAATTTATGTGTGTGTGTGTGTGAATTTAATATTTTCAATGAAAATTGGAAACGCAACGCGAAACGGCCTTGACACTGAATTTAAGGCTTGCTCATTCATATATGAAAATTTGACTAGTGGATGTGGTTAGTGTTTGTGGAATGGATTTGCATTTTTTGCGGTGCGAAATATACATTTTAATCGTGTAAATAGGCTTGAAAGGGAAAGTTTGGTGAGGGAAATTATTTTAGTTGTTTGATGGATATTTTGGTGGTGAATTGTAAAGTGTGGAATTTTAAATTTTGAACTTTTTGTGATATTTTTGGTTTTGGACTGGTTTTTAGATTCAGTGTTTTTGAATTGCGTGGATAAAGATTGGAGTTTTAGATCTTAAATTACACTCGATATTTTATATCAAAAATTTACTTTTTCAAAATCAAAAGCGAAAATCATTGAAATTTATTTTAAGTTTGGTTCAAATTAAGTTGGTTTTGTTGGAATCATTTAAAAATTATTTCTTATTTTTGTTCAAATTTTCACAAAAGAGTTGATCAATTATTGATTTTTTGCAAATATCAAATAGTAAAATTTTAGAAATTGAAAAAAGAAAATTCAAAAACTCGAATTTTCGCTTAAAATTCTCATTTTTATTAAAATAATGAAGTTGGTAAAAAACATGATCAACCAAAATTATGAAAAATGATCAAAAAATGATTGATCCGAGTTAAAATTCAATTGCTACAAAATTATTGTTTTTGAAATATTTTTGCGATTTTTTTCTTTAAAACACTTTGCAAATTTAAAATTAATTTCTTAAAAATGAAACTTCTGTTCACTAAACTCCTTCAGCCTTTGCTTCTGTCTATTTTTAAAGCTTTTAATTAATCACCAACACCCTAGTTCTGAAATATTTCGAAATAATTCAGTTTCACAAAAAACGAGTTTTTCTCTTGAAAAATGATCCAGTTGGATTATCTTAACAACAACTTACTTCAAATATACGCATGTGATTCCTCATTTACTATTACTTCGTTTATTTTAACTGCTCTTTAAAATGAACTGAGCTTCCCAGAATATTTTTAAAAACACCACTTTTTATGAAGTTTTAAAATTGAATATTTAGTTAAATAATTATTATCAGTCATATACATTACATGAGCACCATTAAAGAAGTTTCATTGATTTTTGTTATTTAAATTTTTAAAAAGTCATAGAAATTTTAAAAAAATCGAAATTTTTTTTGCGTTTTAAATTTATTAGAAAAATCCTTTTTTCATTTTTAATGCTAAATATGTTTATCAACGTTTTAAAATCCAGTTTTAATTTTAAAATCATTAATAAATATTTTGTTTTTTTTTCACTTTTTAATTTCTATCTCACAAAGTTTTAAATTTAATTTTAAAAACAAATTTTTTCTGAATCTTTTTATTTTATTTTTCACTTTATTTTAACCAAAACCAAAGCACAGTTTTCACATTTTCTATTAAAATTACTCTAGTTTTGCTGCAGTTTTAGCACTTTTCCAATTTGTCTTAATGTTCTTTTTTTGTAATTAATTAAAAACATCACAATTATTTTTTTCTTTTTCTTTTTTTTATAATTTTATTTTTTTAATTCTTTAGATTTTTTTTGGTCGACGATCTCTTAGCTTTCACATTATTATTATTTTTGATAGTTCAATGTTTTATTTCACTTCTTTTAATTTCAACATTCACAAATTTTTTTGTTTACAAAAAATTTAAATTTTAATTTTTATTTTATTCAAAATTTAAATTTTAATTTTTATTTTCTTCAAAATTTAAATTTTCACAGAGAAAGAAGAAAAACTTTCAAAAATCCATGCAAAAACTGTATATTTTTGCTTTCAAGCATTAAAATCCATTCACAACCCTAACAGCACCAAAGCTCGAAAAGCTTATGTCTGTTGTGCTGTAAGCGTTCGAGAAATTGCACAAAAATATTTTCTTCCTCTTTTTTTATTTTTTATTATTTTTTCACCCCCGACACACAATACACAGCAGCAGCAGTAGCAGTCGCAAGTAGCAGCAAAAAAAAAATATTCAAAATTGATGTTGTTTAGTGTTTTGCCACAACACAACTAAACTGTACAGCACATGTATATACATGTACACAACGATATCAGTTAACAGGGGTAGGTGAGCAAGGAGGAGGAGGTTTAAGAGAATCCGAAGGCACAACAAGCAATAGCAAAGCTTCGCCTTGTTGTTATTTTTTCCTTCTTTCTCGTCTTGCTGCTCCGGTGTGCTCAATAATAAAAAAAAGAAAGCTCTGTGCTGTGCTGCTCGAGCAGCAACACACAACAACATAAAATTTATATACAGAATATTTTTTTTTTGTGTATATTCGATGATGCGATGCGATGCGAGAGATGAAAATGGAGCGAGCGAGTGGAATGAGGATTTTGTATACAATATAAACCGAAGCTGATGCTGATGATGCCGATGCTATGCTATGCTGCTGCTGCTTGTTATGCTCGAGAGAAAAAAGAAGGTAGGGAAAGTATGTGAAATCTGTGATTGGGGTGGAAGGGGGACCGTTTATTGCTATGTTGTTTGAGAATGAGAAAAAGATGAGAAAAATAGACACACAGCAATAACAGCAACAACATGCTGAAGAAGAACAAGAATAATAATCACATCGGGGATGAATAACAACAATAAGAGGAGTAAATGAGAATGATAAAAAAGTATAGTAATGAAATGAAAGTTTTAAATATAATTGTGGATGGAAAAAGGTGATTTGGATTCACTGGATGCATCTTATGATGCTCTGGATACCAATTTGGTTGAGGTATGGCCTTTAGTTCATTTTGAGTTTGTTTTGGGATATCCTTGCCGTACATTGAAATTCATTGAAATGTTTGCCGGGTTAATAGTATAATTAGAACCAAGTGGCAACCACTTGGCATCCAGTTGGAAGTTGCTCCTATATTGGCAAATTCATATTACCAACTCGTAAATTTGTCCAGAACGCAATTGATTAAAGTTTGACTATTGATTGAATAAGGTTTGACTAAGATTGCAAAATGATGAATTAAACCAAACCTAGTGCGAAGCTTTATCCTTAATAGGCGCCTAGCCAGGAGGGTCTTGTCCCCCCTTTAAACGTTTCAAATCACACAGAGAGCACTACCAAAAACGCTTAATAGGGGGACAAGACCCTCCTGGCTACGCGCCTGATCCTAGATACTCAATGTTCTCATAAGTTTTGCCTTTGACATTGGCTTCAGAATATGTCATTAAATTAATAATTTAAGGCAAAAAAGTTGAATTACTTATACCTTTTAATCCAGAATAATCCACTTTATTTCAAACCTTCATTCTCCTCAAGAAACAACAATACTATACATAAAACTATAAGGATCTATAAGAATAGAGAGAGAGAGAGAGAAAAAACACCAACACGAAGAGCAATAACAAGTAAAACTAACAGTCGTTATATGAAATGCAAGAAAATCCCTTTAGAAAAATAAAAGTATATAATAAAACAATATAATACACAACAATACTCCAAAAAGGCGTTCGTTGTTGCATACAGTGTGCTGCATATACAAAGGAAAGCTCCAATCCCAGACATTCTGGCTCCAAAAAAATAAAAAGAATGAAAATTGCACACAAAAAACAAAAGCAAAAGCAAGAAAAAAAATTGTCTTGTTTGTTATTTTATTTTATAATATTATTATTATTGCAAGGGCGGCAACATGCAGCAGCAGTAGCTATGGAAAAAAGTTGTTCCTCTTCTTATTCGTGTTTGAAAATGCAATACAGCGCAAGCTATGTTTTTTATGATATTTTATTTATATAAATTTCTGCTGTTTTGTGCTGCACAGCAATTCTAGTTGGGAAATGGAGCTAGATTTGATGTCATTTTGTCTTTAATGGATTAGGAACTCTTGAGCTTAATTTGAAATTTTCATTCACTGGAGGCCAGAGCTCGAAGTCAACTCGAGTCGACCCGAGCCCTATCAACTTCGAGCTCTGCTGTAGGCCAGTTTATTAATTCACGTGTTTTGGGGATCTTCCATTTGAGTAAGTTTTTTCGAGAAACACATCTTATTACATCTTAATCAAGTCAGGTGATCTAGATAGAAAACTATTCACAGAATAGGTACATCTAAGGATAGTACCTTAACAATATGAGCTGTTAAACCTTGTTTTGAAGGCAAAATAGTAACAACATCCCTAAACTATGCGCTCCATTCACCTCGCATAAACAAAACACAATTTTTTCTATAAATTTCCATTTTATTTTGTATGCACCGAAAAAAAAAACAGCAGTAGCTTTGCTATCCCGCCCTTCTGTGTATATCCTCCGAAGAAAGCAATCCGAAGTTGCAAGAGTCGAGAGAAAAAGTAGAGGAAAAAAGTGCAAGCCATGCGCCTGGGAAAAAATCCATCCCCGAAGCACACAAAATGTATTTCTGTACACAGCAAAATAACAATAAAATAATAATAAAATAAACTCATCACCATTGCTGCTACTGCTGCTTTGCTCCCACACCAGACATTCAAGTTTTCTTGTGCACAAAATAAAAGCACGACGATCACAAATACAATTGCAAAATCTCGACGAATTGTGCAGCAGCCTTGCAGTTTTTTTTCTTCGGCAGCAATTGCGCTTCGCATCGTCTTTACAAATATTTTTTTTTCGTCGTGTTTTGTGCATGTGCTAGTGAAAAAGCTTTATGCTGCAGCTTTTTTTTACCCCTTTTTTTATTGTG